TGCCTCAGCTGCAGCTCTCTCTGCCCACTGAGAGGGCATGCCTCTTCTCTTGTCAGGACATTAGTGTAAGAGTTTATTAATCTAGTCAGTGATTGAACTGGGTTTGGGTTTTATTGTTGCTATAGTAACCCTCAGGGCGCCACAGCCTCAAATCCCTCCAGAAGGTTTTTTTTTTAAAGAGCTTTATTGAGATATTACTAACCTGACATACAATTCGCTCATTTAAAATGTTCAGTTCACAGCTTTTCAGTATATTCCCAGCGCTGGACATCCATTCTCACAATCTGTTTTAGGACGTTTTCATCACCTCAAGGAGGGACCCCACTCCTCTTAGCCGTCACCTCCTGCTCCTCATCTTCCCCAGACCCGACAACCTCTTCCCCACTCTCCGTCCTTCACATCAACGGCATCACGCACTCTGTGGTCTCTCCGTCCAGCTCCTTCCACTGAGCACACTGCGGGTGCTCCACACGGAAGGATGAATCCGCACTTCATTCCTTTCCACACGGAGCACTATTTCGTTGTGTGAATATGTGCCCGGGGGTCAGTGTTGCTCCTTCCTCAGCTTTCCCGTCCCTGCACGGCTGCGCCAAGGAGGGGTCTCTGTGCCTCTGCTGGTTACTTGGTGTCAGCCTTGTGGTGGGACAGGCCCCCTTCTCCCGGCCAGTCTCAGGGGCCTGGCCCTCTGGAGAGCGGCGGGCAGTTTCCCAGCCGGCCGGCCTAAGCTCTTCACCTCATGCAGGAGGATCTGGGAGGGGGTGGCACTGAGGGAGGCCCCAGAAAAGAGCTGTGGCTCCAGCTCCTCTGTCACCCTCACCACGGACGTCACTAACAGAACTCGCTGGCCTTTTAGCTACTGGGTTCTCACCTCCTCCCAAGGATGACTGTGACGCCGCCCGCTGTGCACCACGGGGTGGGCCAGGGGTGCGGGGGGGAGGGCGAGCTTGAGCTGAGGACTGCGGTGTCCACAGGTGTGTTCAGCGGACCCTCCCCGGTGTGGAATGGAGTTGTGGGGGAGGAGGGCGGGGAGACAAAGGGCGGCAAGCTAAACCTTGGGGCTGGAGGCCAGCTCCCCGACTGCCACTCCTGATGCAAACCCCCAGGAGTCAGAGCCTTGTACCCGAGCCTGGCTTTCCAGAGAGGAAGGCCCGTCTGTAAGGCAGGAGGGCCGAAGGCACTCTGTGATTTTGTAAGCTTGATCTCTAACTTCTGTAGACATCCCTGCACCCTGGCTCTGGTCCCAGCAATATTGGGGATAGGCCTCAGCCTCCTGACGGAAGCCTTTCACCCCTGCCTGCCAGCAAGGTGGCAGGGCCCGCTCCGGTCCTCTGTTTTGTCATCTGCAATGATACCTACTTTGGGGGCAGGGCGGTCACTGTGATGACCCCGAGTTCGGTACAAAAGAACGCAACAGCGAGCCTACGTCACGTCAGTTCCTCCCCGCCCGGTGTGGATGGCAGGCTGGGTGCCCACCCACAGGGGTCCACCAGGAACCAAGAGATCAGCCTCCCCCGCCGAACTGCTTCCGGTGCATCCATACCATGGATTCAAATGCCCGCCCCAGGACGAGCACTGAGAAGGTGGCTGCTTCACACACCACGAGGCTGCTCCCTAGTGGCTTGGCCCTTCAGGAACCGAGCGAGCTGAGCTGAGGCCCTCCGCTCCCCAGGCTCCCGCACCGGCAGACAGAGGAAGGGAGCACGTACTTGGAGTCAGTGATTACCGGTACACTGTGTGACGGCAACAGTCTAAATCAGAGTGCGGAGTACTCCGAGGACCCGGTGGCTGGCCTGACAGGGCAGCATGGGCGGAGCGCTGGCCTCACCTGCTTCCCTGCCAGCGCCCTGTGTGCAGAGACGGGCCCTGTGTGCAGAGACGGGCCCTGTGTGCAGAGATGGGCCCTGTGTGCAGAGATGAGCCCTGTGTGCAGAGATGGGCCCTGTGTGCAGAGATGGGCCCTGTGTGCAGAGATGAGCCCTGTGTGCAGAGATGGGCCCTGTGTGCAGAGATGGGCCCTGTGTGCAGAGATGGGCCCTGTGTGCAGAGATGAGCCCTGTGTGCAGACATGGGCCCTGTGTATAGAGATGGGCCCTGTGTGCAGAGATGGGCCCTGTGTGCAGAGATGGGCCCTGTGTGCAGAGATGGGCCCTGTGTGCAGAGATGAGCCCTGTGTGCAGACATGGGCCCTGTGTATAGAGATGGGCCCTGTGTGCAGAGATGGGCCCTGTGTGCAGAGATGGGCCCTGTGTGCAGAGATGGGCCCTGTGTGCAGAGATGAGCCCTGTGTGCAGAGATGAGCCCTGTGTGCAGAGATGGGCCCTGTGTATAGAGATGGGCCCTGTGTGCAGAGATGGGCCCTGTATATAGAGATGGGCCTGTGTGCAGAGATGGGCCCTGTGTGCAGAGATGGGCCCTGTGTGCAGAGATGGGCCCTGTGTATAGAGATGGGCCCTGTATATAGAGATGGGCCCTGTGTGCAGAGATACGCCCTGTGTATAGAGATGGGCCCTGTGTGCAGAGATGGGCCCTGTGTGCAGATGAGCCCTGTGTATAGAGATGGGCCCTGTGTGCAGAGATGGGCCCTGTGTGCAGAGATACGCCCTGTGTATAGAGATGCGGGCCTACACGAGGGCAGAAAAGCAGCATCAAGGGGGGAGCCGGCGGGAGACAGGGGCAGGCATCCAGAGGTTACAGGATTTATATGTAAAATTGGAAACGTTTGAAAAACTCCCAAAAGAAATTTTAAAAAAATGTTCTTCCCCTCTTTCCGACCATACACATACTCCTTAGGATTTCCCCAAAGTTTTTGAGCATCTAAATAGAAACTGGTGCCGAAACCGGTTTGGTTCAGTGGATAGAGCATCAGCCTGCTGTGGACTGAAAGGTCCCGGGTTCAATTCCGGTCAAGGGCATGTACCTTGATTGAGGGCACATCCCCCTTGGGGGTGTGCAAGAGGCAACTGATCCATGATTCTCTCTCATCGATGTTTCTAGCTCTCTATCTCTCTCTCTTCCTCTCTGTAAAAAATCAATAAAATATATTAAAAATAAAATAAACAGAAACTGCCGGTGGGAATGGCAGAACTCTCCCCCTGCGAGGGGAGCAGCCCGAGGCGCCCACGAGGCGGTCACAGGGGAAAACACGAGCGGAAGTCCCCGGTGGGGCCCATTCGGACGGCAGGTGCCACGGAGCCGGGCCCCTCAGGGAAATCCTTTCCTTTTACAGATGAGCAAACGCAAGCCTGGAGAATTCGAATGACTGAACACAGAGCTAACTGGAAACAGACCGGAATGGAAGTCCAAGTCACCCTGACTCACCAGCCCATGGGCATTCCTTTCTACCACATTGGACCTCCTGGAAGAGGGACGATTGGTCCCCCAGGACCAAATGCATGCCCAGAAGCAGCGATGGTTTGCACCTCAGACATTAAGGATGTGCTGAGCCCATAGGAGCGGTCCAGGTGTCTGGTGGTGGAGCACGGGGAGGGGGGGTAGGCAGGGCCCAGTGTGGGCAGGGCACCTTTGCCTGGCGCCCAGGAGGGCCAGGACCTGGTGCGACCTGGATATAAACCACTGAAAACAGAGATTTTGTGTACTTGCTGGAATGCCTGCCAGCAAACACCGGGAACTGCAAGGCTGGAGTTCAGAGAGGTCAGGGCTGCATGATGTTAAAAAAAAAAAAAGCTGAAGCTGGTTTGGCTCAGTGGTAGAGCGTCGGTCTGCGGACTGAAGGGTCCCAGGTTCGATTCCGGGCAAGGGCATGTACATTGGTTGCGGGCACATCCCCGGTGGAGGGTGTGCAGGAGGCAGCTGGCCGATGTTTCTCTCTCATCGTCTCATCGACGTTTCTGGCTTTCTATCTCTCTCCCTTCCTCTCTGTAAAAAATCAATAAAATATATTTTTTTAAAAACACACAACTACGGAGCTATGCTTTGCAGAGCAGAATGGTCCCCAAGTCCTCAGGGAATCCCCCCTCTTTTTGTGGCCCCCGGAGGAGAGACAAGAAAGACAAACTGACCCTAACCGGGTTGGCTCAGTGCATAGACTCAGGCCATACTATGCATAGAGCATCGGCCTGCAGACTCAAGGGCATGTACCTTGGTTCCGGGCACATCCCCAGTGGGAGGTGTGCAGGAGGCCAGGAGGCGGCTGATTGATGTTTCTCTGTTTCTCTCTCATATTTCTAACTCTCTCTCCCTCTCCCTCTCCCTTACTCTCAGTAAAAAAAAATCAATTTATATATATATATATAAGACAAGCTGTGCGGGATTAAGCTGTCCTGCGTCCTCACTCCTTCAGCGCTCACTTACCCAAACACCCAGCGCCCAGCGCGCACCTCCCGCGAACACGGGAAGCCGCCGGGCTGGGACCAGGCAGCCCGGAGCCCAGACCCCCGGGCTCCCCGCGGGCGGGCAGAGGGCTGGGAGCCGGCTGGCCCAGCGCGGGGTGTCCGTGCCCAGGGCCAGCAGCCGACCCCCGCGCCCCTCTGCAGACGGGCCGGAGGCGGCGGGGTGGGATGGAACCTGTGGCCCGGACACCGAGGCTCCGGGAGGCAAAACCCGGGACGTGAGCCGCGGGGATGTCCCCGGGGTCCGGGTTCCCGCGAGAAACTCCCCGTGGTGTCCCAGAGCCCTTCCCCCCGCCGGCGTGAGCCCGGGGCGCGGGGACGGAGTGCTCCCCAACACCCCCCCCCCCAAGGCCCGCGGCCCGCCACCCCCCCGCGGGGGGCCCGGGCAGAGCGCAGGCTCCGCGGCCCCTGACCACAGCCCGGGTCCCGGGCGCCAGGGCCTCCGGCTCCCGCGGGCGGCGGGAACCGAGGCAGCGGACCGGGGAGGAGGGGGCCGGGGCCGCCTCCCCTCTGCCCCCGCCGGGGTCCGCTCCCTCCGCCCGGCCTCCCCGCCGCGGTCCCTGGAGCGCGCCGGGCGGCCCGGGAGGCGGGCGGAGGGGCGGAGGGCGCGGGGAGGGCGCGGCCCGTGGCCATTGGCCCGGCGGCGGCGGGGGCGGGGGGGGGGGTTGGGGCGGAGGAGGGTCGAGGCCCCGGGCGCCACCGGCCGCAGTCGCGGAGCGAGCTCTGGAGGCAGCGCCCGCCATGAGGGAGATCGTGCACATCCAGGCGGGCCAGTGCGGCAACCAGATCGGCACCAAGGTGGGCGGCCGCCGGTCCGGGAGGGACCCCGGGCGGGCTGCTGGGCAGGGGCGCGGGGGGCCGGGCTGGAGGGGCTGCCGTGGGGGCGCCCAGCCCGGGCCTCCGCTCCCCATCCCCTGGGAGCGGCTGCGGGGCCGGGGCGCCTGGGATCCGGCCTCGCCCCGCCCGCCCCGGGCCACCGCGGGGCGCGGGGCTCCGCTCTGACCCGTGCCCCGCACCCCTGTCCGGCCGCAGTTCTGGGAAGTGATCAGCGATGAGCACGGCATCGACCCGGCGGGAGGCTACGTGGGGGACTCGGCGCTGCAACTGGAGAGAATCAACGTGTATTACAATGAGTCTTCCTGTGAGTGCCCGCTCTGGGCCCCCACCGCTGGGGCCCCGCCCTTCCCTCCCGGACCCCGGCCATACCCCAGCCCCCCCTCCCGGCCCACCGTCTCCCCTCGGACCCCGGTCCGCTCCCTCCGCGGCCACGCCCTTCCCCGCGGAGCCCGGCTGTGCCTTCCCGGGTCCGGGCCGTCCCCCGACCGACCGCGGCCGTCCCCTCTGGGCCCGACCCACTCTGCCTGGACCCCGGCCACCGCCTCTGGGACCCCGGCCTTCCCTTCTCTTCCACCCCGCCCGGCGTCCTGCTGGGCTCCCTCCCCGGAGGGCGGGAGGGGTTGGGGTTTGGGGTTCGCCTTCCCGGAGGGCGGAGGGGTTTGGGGCTCCCTCCCCGGAGGGCGGAGGGGTTTGGGGCTCCCTCCCCGGAGGGCGGGAGGGGGTTGGGGTTTGGGGCTCCCTCCCCGGAGGGCGGGAGGGGTTTGGGGCTCCCTCCCCGGAGGGCGGAGGGCATTGGGGCTCTCTCCCCGGAGGGCGGAGGGCATTGGGGCTCCCTCCCCGGAGGGCGGAGGGGTTTGGGGTTCGCCTCCCCGGAGGGCGGAGGGGTTTGGGGTTCGCCTTCCCGGAGGGCGGAGGGGTTTGGGGTTCGCCTCCCCGGAGGGCGGGAGGGGGTTGGGGTTTGGGGTTCGCCTCCCCAGAGGGCGGGAGGGGTTTAGGGCTCCCTCCCCGGAGGGCGGGAGGGGGTTGGGGTTTGGGGTTCGCCTCCCCGGAGGGCGGGAGGGGTTCGCGCCGGGACGCGCCGGGATGCGGCTCCGCCCTCGCCCGCCGGGCGGGAAGGAAGGGCTGGCCAGGGGTTTGAACAATTCCATTCCGCGGCCTGAGCTTTTGAACGGACTGCCCGCCAGCGTTGTGACATCAGCTTCGTGGGTCACATCCGGCTTTTCCTTTCTCTCCAGTTTAAGGGGTATCTCTCGGTGGAGATTCTTGGCTAAAAACTTGCAAAGGGCTCCCTTACCTGGCTTTCCGGGCCTTTGCAGACCCTCAAAAAGACGTGACACTCCCAGGCTGTGCTTTATCTCCGTTTGGAAGTAGCCCTGTCCTGGATGCCCACATGCATGTTCACGTTATTTCTGTAACAACTCTTCCAAACAACAAAAAACTAAGACATTGAAAGAATGCCCAGAAAGTGACAAATACTACCCTTCCATAAGACATACACATCCCCAGCGCTGATCACGTCCAGTGTCCGGATTCCTGTGCTGCTGCTCGTCCACGGAAGAGCTGAAAAGAGCAGGACGCACAGCTCACCCGGTTTTACTCATTAAGCAGCTGTGACAAAAGGTCTGGACAAGCAGGGCCTCGAGGATGAAATTTCTAGATAGCATTGCGGGAAATTCCAGTGCATATGGCACTTCCTGTTAACCCTTAGGGCCAGCTGGGCTGCGGCCTTCCTCAGTCTGTGTGAGCCAGCAGGCCAGGAGGCGAAGGCAGATCCTATTAACCCCATCCTCCCTGGGAACAATTTCTCGCCCAACTGGCACAAGGGTGTGCTTTCTAGTATATAGTCACAGATGAAAGAGTTTCTTGGAAAATGGCCGATGGAATGTCGCTTGGGTTCATACACGTGTGTGTGTCAGGGAGGTGCCAAAAAGCAGAAAGAATGTCACAGCAGCACTACAATTTAAAAAAAAAAAAAAAAAAAACATATATTTTTTTTACTGAGTTCAGAGAGGAAGGGAGAGGGAGAGGGATAGAAACATCAATGATGAGAATCATTGACCGGCTGCCTCCTGCATGCCCCACACTGGGGACCGAGCCTGGGCATGTGCCCTGACGGGGAATCTAACCGTGACCTCCTGGTTCATGGGCGGACGCTCAAACACGGAGCCACCCCAGCTGGCACAGCACACCTGGCCACCACAGACAAGGTTTATTTCCACGGAGCTAAAAACGTAATCTGCCCAACAGGAAAGAGGTGTTAGGGCGAACGGGAAAACCCAGGAGGCAGGAAGTCAGGAGACTGGATTTCCCACCCTGCTGCTTCCTGGAGCAGCCTCTGCCCACCCGGGCCTCTGCCACCCATGGCCTCTGCCACCCATGGCCTCTGCCCACCCGTGGCCTCTGCCCACCCAGGCCTCTGCCACCCGTGGCCTCTGCCACCCGGGCCTCTGCCACCCATGGCCTCTGCCCACCTGGGCCTCTGCCCACCCGGGCCTCTGCCCACCCGGGCCTCTGCCACCCATGGCCTCTGCCCACCCGGGCCTCTGCCACCCAGGCCTCTGCCACCCGTGGCCTCTGCCACCCGTGGCCTCTGCCACCCAGGCCTCTGCCCACCTGGGCCTCTGCCACCCAGGCCTCTGCCCACCCAGGCCTCTGCCCACCCAGGCCTCTGCCACCCGTGGCCTCTGCCACCCGTGGCCTCTCCCCACCTGGGCCTCTGCCCACCCGGGCTGGGGCTGGTTTCCTTGTCTGAACAGTTCGAGGTGGGATGGTGGCCTCCCCGTGCTAGGAGTCCGTGATTCTTATTTTTTAAAATTTCTTTATTGATTAAGATATCACATATTTGTCCTCAACCCCCATTCCAATCCCCCCCCCCTCCTCATGCATGCCCCCCCCCCCCCCTCATTGTCCTTGACCTCTGGTTAGGCTCATAGGTGTGCACATAAGTCCTTTGGTTGATCTCTCCCTTTATCCCCACCCTCCCTCTGAGGTCCAGCAGTCTGACCCGTGGCTCCTTATCTCTGGGTCTGTTCTTGTTCATCAGTCTAAGTTGTTCACCATTTCCCCCAGATGAGTGAGATCATGTCCTACTGGAAATATGAGAATCAAACACAAGACAAGCAATCATCGTTCTGCCGAAGGGCACATGCATCAGTCCGTAGTGAGCTGCTTTCTGGGCCCCCCGTTCTTTGGGAGCCCGTGATTCTGAGAAAGCCAGGCGCCCTCTGAACCCTGCTCCACCCGCCAGGCAGCTGAGCGGGGACTTGCTGTGGGGAAGCCCGTTCCGTCAGAAACCAGACTGACCTCCGGGCGGGCTCTGCTCTCTTCCAGCCCAGAAGTACGTGCCCAGGGCCGCCCTGGTGGACCTGGAGCCGGGCACCATGGACAGTGTGCGGTCCGGGCCGTTCGGGCAGCTCTTCCGGCCGGACAACTTCATCTTCGGTACGTCCCCGCCCTCCCGCGCTCTGCTTCTCTCCCAAACCCCAAATCTGACTTGTGTGCGAGATTAAAAGCATCACAGGGCACAGGAAATGCGCAGACCAAACTGATCCCAGGCACCTCTTGTCATTTTTGACTTTTTTTTTTTGTTTTTTTAAGGAAAGTCACCTTTGTATTTTTAAATGAAATGCTTATCCTGATAGTTCTTTATTTAAAAAAAAAAAATTAAACATTAACTTTCCCCCCTTCATAAGTTATTATAATATGGTAATAGTAACTTATTTTTGGTTCCTATATTGCTCATCTTTTAATGTCAATACATTTATGCCAATATTTCTTCTTTTTTTAAATATATTTTATTGATTTTTTGTAGAGAGGAAGGGAAAAAGACAAAGAGCCAGAAACATCGATGAGAGAGAAACATTGACCAGCTGCCTCCTGCACACCCTCGACCGGGGACGTGCCCGCAACCAATGTATATGCCCCTGACCGGAACCGAACCCGGGACCCCTCAGTCCACAGACCAACGCTCTACCACTGAGCCAAACGGGTTTCGGCTATTGCTCATCTTTTAACGTCAATACATTTATGCCAATATTTCTTACTCATTATCTATACACAGCTCTGCTTTCTTTCAAAAGACTGGGGCCATAGGAGTTTCGTTCTAGCAGAATGGGCAAATCCTCCCCTCCCTTCCTCCACCTAAAAACAAAACAAAACACACAACCATAGTGCCCGCTCTCTGTAAACTTCTAAAGAGAGTTATATAAAATTAAATAAATTGTGCCTAGCTGGTTTGGCTCAGTGGAGAGAGTGTCAGGCTGCAGACTTAAGAGTCCCGGGTTCGATTCCAATCAAGGGCACATGCCCTGGTTTCGGGCTCCATCCCCAGTAGGAGGGGTGCAGGGGGCAGCCAATCAATGATTCTCTCTCATCATTGATATTTCTATCTTTGTCTCCCTATAGGAGACTGAATATTGAATAAAAGTATGTTTTTAAAAATAATATATTAATTAAGTAAAATTAAAGTGGCACCGTTAGTGTTACCATCCCCCATCACCCTGTAGCCATAGGTTTCAGAGTCAAAGCCACAGGGAGATGAACCATCTCCCATTCCCAGACAATTCTGCGCTACAAGAGGACACAGAATCAGGAAGATTTTATTGGTATACGAATTAATGACCTTGTAGCAGAATCAGGCAGTGACTTGTTAAGAAGAGGACAAGTTCACAAAGACTTTCTGTGTCCTCTGGGTATCTATCATCCACTTCTCATCACATGACAACCTACACAACCGATGGGACAGGTGAAGCTTCTAATAATAACTTGTTCAAGAGTTTTCTTTCGCCTTTAATATTTCAAATAGATCGGGACTCTGGTGCCCCTTTTCTTATATTAGAAAGCCTAAATTGCCAATATCTTTATTGTTCACAAATGGGGACATTTGTATTCTTTACCTTTCCCTGAGCTGGAGGCCATCGTTGGCCCCAGGCACTCATGGACAGGACTCACACATAGAAACACGAAGGTTCACGTGTGACTCGGTGAACCCTGTTCCCAGGGAGGTTGGGGAGAAAATAGGAAAAGAGTGTTCTGTGTGGTTTAAATTTAAGATGTCTCATTTATGTATGTTCTAGTGGGCTTCGTGTAACATTGGTATGTTTTGTTTCTTAAAATGGGTGATTGGTAAGTAGGTAGTCTCCATTACATTGCTCTTCATGGCCTTTTACACGCCCTCAGTCTGTCATCAGAAACGTCATGGGTGAGGCTATGGCACCCGTGGGCGCCCTTTCTGGGCAGGGTCTCAGTGGACACCAGAGGCCATGCGCCCTCCCTGCCTTCCCCTCTCCCTCTCCCAGCCCCGCCGTCTGCTCAGGGTGAGGCCTCGCCCTCCACACCCCTCCGCACAGCCAGGGCATTGGAGGTCTCAGAGAGTCGAAACCGTGAACCAATTCTTACGTCATTGAATGATCACAAACGATGGAAGTCTCCATGCTAAACTAGATTCTCAGGGCAGCAAATGTAGCAACTGTGGAAGTTTTCTTTGATTTTATTTAATTGAACTGAATGTAAAGTGTAGGAAAGGTTTGATCTCATCCATCTAGGTGTCAATAAATGGGGTCAAAATGTTTAAGAACGAATTAAGACAGACCGATATTAACTATTATCTAAGTTACCTAATTCACTGTCCGTGTCCTCTTTGAAAAATGTTAGAAATGATGCTTGGCGTTTACACTGTCCCCGGGATTATTTCTTGCATCTTTGCTTCTTGCCAGAACATGCATACCTGTCTTTGACTCGGAATATTTAAAATTTTTAACACATGGTACTGATGTGAAATATCGTTACTCAGTAATTTAAAAAAAAAATTGATGTTTTTTTTTATTAAGAATTTTGAATGGTTTAAGTCAGTATGCTTACTTTGTTAAAACTGCACATCTGTTTGGTGGAAGGGAGGGGCGTCCAGAATGTAGGAACAGACTGTATTGTTTGGCTGGGAGTTGTTTCCAGATATTAAGAGAGGCAGAATTGTCTCTGAGTGGGAGATGGTTTATCCCCCTCTGGCTTTCTAGCTCATTGTCTCCGAGGTGGCAAATTACAGCAAGCAGGCGTCAGTCCATTTTCAAATATAGTTTGAAATGTTTTCTTTCTAAAAAATAGACTTGAAGTGTGTATAATCCTAAAAGTGAAAATGATCTGCATTTGAGTTTTAAACATGAAAATACTTTTTAAAAAAAAAACAAACCTTTTCCCCAATGAATTGCTGGCTGCATAGCCATCATGCCTGTTAGATAGCAGGAGACAGCCTTGTGGGAGAAAATGAAACGCCGGAGAGAAAAACTTTCCTTTAAGCCTCTTTCTGCACTGGCACTATTTTCTCCAAATGTTAGTGCTGGGAGAGAGAGGGTCAGAGAGCACACACAGCTCCCAGGGTGAGCTCTGGGGCACACCCGAGGGCGGACTCCCACACGACCCCACTGCCAAGCTTCGAGATTGCAGCCTTGCGAGCCGCTGATTAATGTCCCAACACCGCATTACAGAAGACGTTCAACTCATGACCCCCAAATATTTAACTGGGAACGTCCGTTGCTATGAGACCGGGGCAAAATATTTTCAGAAGTCACCAGCTTCCTCCCTTTGACACGAGCAGAGAAAACCTTGTCATGTTATAAACACCGAGGGAGCCAAGTGCGTGGTGTGAGCTGAAGGCAGAGACAGGGTCCAGTCCAGAACCTCCATGCTGACCCCTCACTGTGGCTGCATGTCTGCCTACAGCCGCCTGCTGCTTTCCATTTCCTAGTTTCTCCTCCAGTTTAAGGAAATAATTCCTGTCTCTTTGTAACAATTACACTCGGTCCTTCCTTTTACAGGTGTGAGCCCCAGGCGCAAGGCTGGCCCTGAGCAGAAGGCTGCCCCGAGCTCGGTCTTCCCAGCGCCTCTGCTGTGGTCCTGCCGGGCTGCCGGCTGCTGGGCTGGGTGGGGAGGGGGTGGACAGGAGTCAGTAGGGGCATGGGAAGGACAATGATCATTTTTGATCCTAGGAAGAGTAGGCTGCCAAGTTTCACTGTGCGACCCAACTGGGCGGGAAGAAAGAGAAGTGAGAGAACAGTCACCTCCTGACCAAGGTGATGACCACCTGAGGGGCTGAGGGGTCAGTGCCCGCAGGGTCTGAGGCAGGCACGGAGGGAATGTTTCTATAGGTGATCATTAGACAGTTTCTGCAATTTACTTTGAGCCACAGGTCCTGTCATGCCAATAGCCTGGGTGCCTTTGACCAGCCAAATGGGGCAAAGAAGACAGGAGTGAGGCGGGCCTCGCTGGTGAGGTGGGGCCGGGACAGACGGGACAGCCGTGGTTTCAGACGGGCGGTCCGCCCTCCTGAAACCTCACTATTTAATTGTAAACACGTTTAATGTTTTCATTACAAAGTTAAACTGTTTCCACATGGGTTTTTTGTGGGTTTTTTTCCTCCTTTAAATATATTTTTATTGACTTCAGAGAGGAAGGGAGAGGGAGAAAGAGGCAGAAACATCAACGATGGGAGAGAATCATTGATCAGTCGATGATCCTCTCTGCACGCCCCACAGTGAGGATCGAGCCTGCAACTAGAGCATATATGGCCTGACCGGGAATCGAACTGTGACCTCCAGGTTCATAGGTCAACACTCAGCCACTGAGCCATGTCGGCCGGTCGCCACGTGTATTTTTTCAAACAGTAAGCAAGTACATAGTGTAAACACAGAAACCCCCATCCTTCCACTGATGGCCCCTGAGATTTTCGTCCCTGAGGACAACGGAATGCTGTAGACAGTGGAGGAGTGTCCTGCCTGACCTTTTCCACGTACACGTGTACCCACAACCTCGCGCGCGCGCACGCACATGCATACACACACACACACACAGTTGGTTTTATTTTTGGAAAATGGGGTCATACTACACATACTATTTTGTAGCTTTTTAGAAGAAGTTCCCTAACATCTCCCATGACGGTCACTGCCGATCCGTCGTTAGGTAATTCCCCACTTATTGGTGACACTTTAGAATTTTCCTTAAAGTCGGGTTTCCATACTTTTCTTTTGATGAACATAAGATACACGTATGCTTAACTAAATTTTTATAATCAATATATAATGTTGAAACTGAACTGCCTATAATCCCTTCCTTTAGAAACCATCATTTATTAGCTCAGTGTGTGTTTCTCCAATTTCTTTCCAAAATGCAATTTTAAATGTTTCAATAGAGCTAAGAACATTCCTTTTTGCTAGGTAGCCAGGTGAAAGACGTGCGTGGTCCGGGGGAGGCAACAGGAACCACAGGGTGTACGGTGAGAGCTGGTCCCTCTCCTGCCCGCGCTGGTGCCCCTGGGGCCCCCCCCCCCCAGAGCAGCCACACTCCGACGCATGTGTGTCCTCTCAGTGCACATCCAGCAGGAACATGTCTGTTACATACAGAAGTTGATCGTCAACTATTCACCATGTAGGACTCTGGGTTTTTCCCCACTGAGAATATATTTAAGGAAGTTTTCCCATCTCAGTCCCAGGCTGATGGCTGATAGTCTTTGCATAGGTGCTAGCCTCTTTTAAAAGACACTCCGGTTGCTTCCCTTTTTCTTTCCTATTGCAAACTGCTCTTCAGGATATGGTATCTCTGGGGCATTTTGCGCACGCGGGTCTATCTATCTGGGGAAATTGGTAGACGTAGAATTGCTGAGTCCAAGGGGGCTGATGTGACAGGTATGGCTCCATTGTTCTCCAAAGAGTCTCGTTTTCCTAGGCCTCCAACAGCTGCCCCGTATGAAGGGGTATTTCCCAAACCCTCGCCCACCGGCGTTGCCGAATTTCTCCCCTCTGTCCGTTCCACAGGGGAGAAACCAAATCTTGGTGTTTTAATTTGCATTTCCCTTATGGAGAATATGTCAAATGCTTGTCATCTCCATTTCCTTCTCTGTGAGCTGTCTGTTTACATCCTTTGCCCATTTCTGTAAAGGCGGTTGTTTTCCTTGCTGATTTGTGAGGCTTTGCATATGCAAGGAGGGTATCCCTTTGTTTGTGATACAAGTCACTAATAGTCCGTTTTAAAATTGCTGAAGAGTCACAGGATTAGGCTTGTTTTCTCTTGTTTTAGACTTCCGGGGACGCCACAGAGCTTAGCACTGATAAATGCTATGGAAGCTATACAGGCACTGAAGATGACTCATTCGCCTCGATGAAGGCCTTGAGATCAGAATCCCGGGGTGCTGGTCGGCAGACCTCAGTGTGAGGGGCCCCCTTCCACCAAAGTGCATGAGAGCCTCTCAGCTGATGCAGCACCAGGCTGGTCTCAAGGGGGAGCCTTGGTGGGGTCACTGCTGCCTGCCTCAGTTTCCCCTGTAGTGTGGAGCATCGGGCATGGAGCTGCCCACACAGAGCAGAGAAACTGGTCTTCAGGCTGTGGTTGTGAATTCTTGCCTCCAGCTGGGTGTAGGCAAAATTCAAGTTAACTTCTGGAGAGTAAGTGGATATTACCTGGTCGAAACATATGTCCATCTTAAAAATTGATGAGGGTGCCCAGCCAGCATGGCTCAGTGGTTGAGTGTCGATCTGTGAACCAGGAGGTCACTGTTCAATTCCCGGTGCCGGGTTGTGGGCTCAGTCCCCGGTGTGCAGGAAGCAGCCAATCCATGATTCTCTCTCATCATAGATGTTTCTGTCTCTCTCTCTCTCACCCTTCATCTCTGAAGTCAATAAAAATATATTTCTAAAAAATTGATGAGTATTTAACTTGCCTAAAGAGGTACTAATACGTGTACTCACCAGCAGTATTGGTGGTGCCATTTTATTGATTTTTTACAGAGAGGAAGGGAGTTAGAGAGAAACATTGACCAGCTGCCTCCTGCACACCCCCCACCGGGGATGTGCCCGCAACCAATGTACATGCCCCTGACCGGAATCGAACCTGGGTCCTTTCAGTTCGCAGACTGACGTTCTACCACTGAGCCAAACCGGTTTCTGCAATATATATATATATATGTGTGTGTGTGTGTGTGTGTGTATGTGTATGTGTGTGTATATATATATATATATATATATATATATATATATATATATATTTTTTTTTTTTTTAGAATGAGTGATTTTTTATTTGCATGGGATTACATCCATGTGTTTCCAAAGTTCCATTTCCCTTAGTCCAGTCTTGGAAAAAGTGTAGCTGGGGTTTCAGGAAAGCTACAAGTAAAGCCAATGTCCAGAGTTTCATTTCCACGTTTGAGACAGGTCCAGCACAGTGTCAGGCTAGTTACAGCCCATCAGTCCTTTGTGTTTGGGCTCCACATGGCCGTGGGCCAGGAGGCGGAATGCAGGGAAACAGGAGCAAAGGAGCCCCACAAGCCAGGAGTCAAACACAACCCACCAAGAGTAACAAAAGCGTAAGAGTGGGGAGGGTGGGTGGGAAGAGATCAACCAATGAACTTGTATGCATATATGTATTTGTGAACACGGACAATGGAGTGATGAGAGCCAGGGAACAGGGGACGGAAGCCCGGGAGCTGGCTAGAAGAGGTTTATGGCATAAAAAGGAGGATCTATGTAACACTAAATAATGAAGATTTTTTTAAAAGAACATAAGAGCTCACTAGTTGGAATGATTAGAGAAGGTGCATGCGGTCAGTCACACCTGGGAACAGAGGTCATTGGCCTGAATGGACATGGCCACTGCTAATGCTTAGAAATTTAGGATAGTTGGTTTCAGCGATATTGATACATTTTAAATGGTGATGGAAAAGATGTATTACCGATTAGATAATATGATAATATGTTGTTATCTAACCGGTAATACATCTTTTCCATCACCATTTAAAATGTGTCAATATCAATGAGTGGGTCCTATGGTCTTGCCCTATTTATTTATTATATTTCTTTTTATCCTCACCCAAGGAAATGCTTATCAATTTGAGAGAGAAACAATGATGTGAGAGAGAAACATCCATCAGTTGCCTCCCTTATGTGCCCCCAAATGGGGATCAAACCCACAACCTAGGTATGTGCCCTGACTGGGAATTGAACCTGCAACCTTTCAGTATACAGGAGGATGAGCCAACCAACTGAGCCACACCAGTCCGGGCTGTCTCGCCCTGTCTAAATGGTATGCTACTCTTGCTTATTCCAGGACAAACTGGTGCCGGAAACAACTGGGCGAAGGGGCATTACACGGAAGGAGCGGAGCTGGTGGACTCGGTGCTCGACGTGGTGAGGAAGGAGTGCGAGCACTGTGACTGCCTGCAGGGCTTCCAGCTGACCCACTCCCTGGGCGGGGGCACGGGGTCCGGCATGGGCACGCTGCTCATCAGCAAGATCCGGGAGGAGTACCCGGACCGCATCATGAACACCTTCAGCGTGATGCCCTCGCCCAAGGTGTCGGACACGGTGGTGGAGCCCTACAACGCCACGCTGTCCGTGCACCAGCTGGTGGAGAACACGGACGAGACCTACTGCATCGACAACGAGGCCCTGTACGACATCTGCTTCCGCACCCTCAAGCTGACCACCCCCACCTACGGCGACCTCAACCACCTGGTGTCGGCCACCATGAGCGGGGTCACCACCTCGCTGCGCTTCCCGGGCCAGCTCAACGCCGACCTGCGCAAGCTGGCGGTGAACATGGTGCCCTTCCCGCGCCTGCACTTCTTCATGCCCGGCTTCGCCCCGCTGACGGCCAGGGGCAGCCAGCAGTACCGGGCCCTGACGGTGCCCGAACTGACTCAGCAGATGTTCGATGCCAAGAACATGATGGCGGCCTGTGACCCCAGACACGGCCGCTACCTGACCGTGGCCACCGTCTTCCGGGGCCCCATGTCCATGAAGGAGGTGGACGAGCAGATGCTGGCCATCCAGAACAAGAACAGCAGCTACTTCGTGGAGTGGATCCCCAACAACGTCAAGGTGGCCGTGTGCGACATACCACCGCGGGGCCTCAAGATGGCCTCCACCTTCATCGGCAACAGCACGGCCATCCAGGAGCTGTTCAAGCGCATCTCCGAGCAGTTTTCCGCCATGTTCCGCCGCAAGGCCTTCCTGCACTGGTTCACGGGCGAGGGCATGGATGAGATGGAGTTCACCGAGGCCGAGAGCAACATGAACGACCTGGTGTCCGAGTACCAGCAGTACCAGGAAGCCACGGCCAACGACGGTGAGGAAGCGTTTGAAGACGACGAAGAGGAGATCAACGAGTAGAGACGGGTCCCTGTCTCAGTTCAGACTTCCTTGCTTTAACTCGGATGTGCCTTAACTCCATTGGCTGTTCAGTGGTGCACTGGTCTAGATATATATGGGTGCAGGCCCTTCCCAAAGGCAATGAAATCGTCCTCTCGGTCATCCGGAACAAAGGAAGTTCATTAAAATGGCAGAGAAGTGGCAGTCCTCCCCCAATCAGATCAGACGAGGAACATTTCCTACTGGAGGACTTTAAAAGAACACACGTGGGCCATCAGTAAAGGGCTAAGCGAATAAACCTCACCTTCTATTAAGCGTTCAACCATGTCTGAGGATCAGCAGGGAAGTTAGAAACAGTATTTTTTTAATCCTTTGTGAAACGAAGCTGTGCCGTGTTGCCTTATTTTGAATATGCAATATTGAACCTTTGAAACAGTTTATTCGTAATAAAACACTAAAACTGTTCCTTCGTCTCTCCCAGCCTTTGCTTATGTGATAGATTTGTCACCATGCAACCTTAGGAGGGTTGCTCAGATCTCTAGTCCACCCTGGGTGACCTGTCCCTGCAGCTCACGGGAAGGAACGAGGCTTTTCTTGAATTGCAGGCTTTGCCGGCGGGAGCCAGAATGAGCCCCGTGTGCAACAGCCTTTAGACCTCGCACAGAACTTCCCGCCTCCCTGGGCCAGGGGATCCCAGCCTTCCCTGACAACTCCGCTGAGGTTTGCCAGAGCAGCCACCGGTTACCTTCAGGCTCCCAGCTAGCTCTTGGTGGGTGAGGGGCACCGGGTAGATGGGCTCTCGGAGCAGGACCCCGGGCCAGCAGCCTGGCCCAGCACAGGGGGGAAGGCTGTGTAACAAACGATCACTTTCTGGTTCCTGTAAACTAGCCACTTCTGAAACGGGTCTTGTCAAGTCAAATTCCGCAGGACAGGACCAGTCTAGTTTTACCAGTAATTGGCCAGCACTGCCAACATTAGCAGTGAACGAGTGATTTTGCTTTAGCCAAAAGAACGTGGTGGTATGTCACTTCCAGGTGGAAGCAAATGTTAGTGCTTGGCCCTCTGCTCCGACTCCCAAGTGGGGGACCCCAATTCCTCCTGTGAAGGTCACCCAGCGTCTCCATCGGTGACTGTGGAGCGGCCTCCTGGCCTTTGTTGGACAAGGAAGAGAAGTGAGTCTTTGCCATTCGGAGCCACTGAGTTCGGGGGCGGCCTCAGTGTGACCTGGTGCTGTGAGGCCATGGCTCACACCCACCAACTGCATTTATTTGTGTTAAGCCCTAGCCTTTCTTTAAAGGTCTTTGTTGTTAATCCTCACCCAAAGATTTATTGCCATTGATTTTTTTAGAGAGAGACAGAGAGGAAAAACATCAATGTGACAGAGATACATTGATTGGTTGCCTCCTGCCTGCAACCCAGGTACATGCCCTTGACCGGAATTGAAGCCGGGATCCTTCAGACCATGGGCCAACACTATCCATTGAGCCAAACCGGTCAGGGCAACCCTAGCCTTTTTTTAAAAAAGCATTTATTTTTATTTTTAGAGAGGGATAGAAACACTGATGAGATATATCTTGCATGACCCCCACTGGGGATCCAGCTCAAAACCCAGGTATATGCCCTGACCCAAATCAAAATCAGTGACCTCTTGGTTCATGGGTCAATGCTAGACCACTGAGCAACACCGGCAGGCAGACTGACGGGTAGACAGCAGGACTTGAACTGAGTTAAGAACAGGTCTTTTTTGGAGAAGTCTGAACTATTTTGTGAGACTACAGTAAAAACATACCTTATTATTCCCATCTAACCTGGAAATGTGCTAAGGTTTGATTTCCTCCGAGCACCTGCTGTGGGCAGGCCCCGATGGCCGAATCTTATAGCCTTAACACATTCTCACTCAGCTGCTTCCCAAGCATCGCCTGGGAAAGAAGGCCGTCAATGTGACTCTCAGTCACTGCCGGAGCCACCTCCCATCCCATCAGCCCAGTGCTGCTCCAGATGCCACTGATTCTGTCTCAAGCCTGAGAAGTCACTATTCCCTCAACATACTTAACTGCATCACGGATACACAAGGCAAGTGGAACACTAAAGGAAGCTGCTAAAAATATGCATACATAAATGCAAAAATGTATAAGACTTCCAAATCCAATAGTGGCTTTGTAAGGTTTAATCCATCTACGTCTGCAGCACTGCAAACCTCCACTTTTCTGGACCCACACACACCCTCTAATGGTAAGTCATGGGAGACCCAGGGCACAGGGCCTCTCCAGCTTAATGTCACTGTCCTTCTCTGAAGCCCAGGTGATGGCTTGGCACAGCCTGCCACATCTGCTATGAGACACTGACTCCAGTCCCAGTGTGATCAACACGTGGCCGTGACTGGTCTACAATAGTAAGGGTGTAAATCAGATCCTCGCCGACTGAGCTAGTGTCCGAGTTCATCATTCCAGGACACACAAACCTAGAAGCTCCTCATCCTCGTGTGGGAGCAGATGAGAACCAGAGACTAAAAAAAAGTATCCCAAGCCCAAACAGTGGCCCTGTGTGTGGTCAGGAGAAAAAAGTAAAATGTTTACACTTTATTTCTGATGTAAAGAAGCCGTATTTACATAATACATTCATATTTTTTTACTATGTTACAGCTCTCTGTAGAAAATCATTCCAGTAAAACAGCAACATGTGGTCTGGATCCGATCTTCAAAGTATTAGTCAAATTTAAATATTCGTATCAGGAATTCAATTTAATTTCACAGCCTCTGAAGGGAAATGGGAATGAAGGGTGGGGCGATGGAAAGTGAAAATACAGGCCTCCCCCACGCTGGCAAGCTTTCAGATTCTCTCCCTGACGTGTTCTGCTGGCTTCACTAATGGTGGAGCGGGGCCAGTGCCGGGCACCGAGCTCCACTCTCCAGCCGCTGTCCAAGAGCCCAAGGCCTGGGGAAATCACCCCGCACCCCTCGGGGACTGCTGAAGCTGAGGATTAAGTACTCCTCTCCCCACCACTTTGACTGGTCAGCAGCTGGTTAAGATCAACTTAGCAGTGTTCTCATTCTTCTGAGAAAGCCAGAGTTGAAATAACGTGCAAATTGAACCCACAACACAAGCTAAAACGGCCTCCCTCCTCGGATCTGATTGGCGATTTTCTCCTCTGGGGACACTTCCTTTTCCTTCTCCTTCTCCCGGTCTTTGTTCCAGTCCTTCAGGCCCTCTGGAAGTGAAGTGTCCTCATCCAAGCTGCCAGTGCCTTCCACAAATTCTTCATAGGTAGATTTTTCCGCAAATGGTCTGGGGCCCAAAAGTTCAACCATATCACTTTTATCTAATACTTCTTTTTCTAATAATAGAAGAGCAACCTGAAATATGAACAATATAGTTACTCAACAGTTATAGATAATCTCACCCCAAAAAGGGTTTAAGAACCACTGAAAAAGATATATATAAGGTCACATAATTTTGAAGTAAGGTGTGTAAAATACTATAAAAACAAATGTCTAGCAGTAAGGGCCTGGCTAAATACATTTGGTATATCCACACAATGAAAACTGAGTAGTTTACAATATTTGCTTTTTAAAAGAGGGAAAATACATCTTTCATTGATGAATCATCTTCTATTTTTATTTTTTAACTAGAGGCTGGTGCACAGAATTCGTGTGGGGGGAGAGGGGACGTCGATCTGGGACTTCTCAAGATATGTCCCTCTCACAATCCAGGACTGCTGGTTCCCAACCACTCCCCTACCAGCCTGATCACCTAACTGCTCTCCTGCAGGCCCAACTGCCCCTAACTGCCCTCCCCTACTGGCCTGGTAATCCCTAACTGCCCTCCCTTGCCAGCCTGGTCGCCCCCAACTGCCCTCCCCTGATGGCCTGCTCACTAGCAACTACCCTCCCCAGCAGGCCTGGTCACATCATATATTTTTGTCTACATCTTTAAGAGATAAAATCTCTTTAAAAAACAACCAGAATACTAAATGGTTTAATTTGTTAATATATTGTTTGTGTATAGAAGATTTGAAGAAATAAAAGCTTTAGGATTTCTTCTTAGATCATCTTTAGTTTTCAAATTTACCTATTTATAGTTATGAGAAACCACTTAAGTTGTGATATTTTACTTAACCTAATATGTAAAAACACTGTCATTTCAACATGTAATCATTTTAAGAACTGATATATTGTACATTCTTTTGTTCAAAGTCTTCAAAACCAGCGTGGATTTTATGCTCACAGTCCATCTCACCCCAGATCAGTCACACTGACGGTACAGGCTTGGTTAGGTGTTAACGGCAAGGGCTCTGCAGACTGGACATCTGGGTCCGAATCCTGGTCCTGCCATTTACCAGCTACCTCCCTGATGATCTTAAGCAAAGTTAAGCAACAATGTTTCTTTTGTTTCTTTATGTATTAGTGTCTTCATTTGTAAAATGGGGATAATAATATAGTTACTTCATGAGGTTACAGGAGGTTTTAGACAGGTTAGGCAGTACCTGGTATATATATGATACTAAACTAAGTGAATGCTAGCTGATGATCTTTATTCTCCTAAATCTTGGCTCTTAGATGGGTAAACTGAGGCCCAGTATTTGAAGGCATTTGCTGTATTAGCAAAGGCTCCAGCCACTTCCCCTTTTGGCTCCTGGCTGGCTCCACATTAGTCTTAATGGACTTAATTTTCTGATGGACCAGGCAGAATTTCAGAGCTCTATGGTGTTTCAAGATCTGAAGATCACTTTTCCCTTCACAAACAGTTACTTCTTTGTTACCACTGTCAGTACACAAACTGCACATGTGGAAGGGTAAATAACTGAGTATAATTCTCTGGGCCCATTTGAGCATCTATGGTGGGCGTGTGGAATCCCTGAGCTGGTCATCTCATTTCGGTGAGCACTTCTGCTCTCTATTGTCTTTTACAGCTCAGTTTTTTCTTTAACAATAGGCTGTAGGGGAATAACCAATAAATCCTTTATCTGATCTGGACCTCCTATCCATATATCACTTGCAAATGCCTACTGCTCAATTCCTCTTGGAAGTCAAGGCTGAATCTTTCCCCCGTTCCCACCCAGGCTGCATTTGCCAGTAGGAGGAGCCCTGGAGTCATTCCAAGGGCTTCCCTCCCATCCATTCTCCCTCCACTTAATAAATCTTAATAACTTTAATCAGCAACTTTTGGTGTTTTAGATGTCACCACCAGCACCATCTCAGGAATGTTACACATGCCTACAACAGCTCTGAGCTGGTCTCTGTTCTAGTCTCTTCCATCCCACTGCTGCCACACTCTCCTTTTAAGTGATGAACTTGAATCATTTCTACTTAAGATTCTTTAAGGACTCCCTCCCATAAAACAAGGTGGTTAGATTAGACCATTTTGAAAGTCACTTTTATGCCTAAATTTGTTTCTAAATTTTCAACCTGGCTTTTGAGGACCTGGGTACTGTAGTCTCCCTTCCCCCCATTATCTGCTCAGCAAGCCTCCGTGCTGAGCTCCTTTCCCATTGGCCGGAATCTGACTATCCAATTTTGTTTATCAATGTATTCACACCACCTCAGAAGCAAAAGACACACAGAAACATCAGAATAAAAGAAGAAACCCAAGAGTTAGCCAGATAATGAGAAATGCTGACTTCTATAAACCCATCAAGAGTCAATATCACTTTGAACGTTTCCTGCAAAACCGTGTTTAGAATTATTTGTACAACTGGCACCTACTTTCTCCACATCGGCTTTCTTTTCTGTGAGAAGAGTTACTGTTCTTTTATAAGCCTCGTTAATAAGTATTCGTACTTCGTCATCTATCAGTCTTGCTGTGGCTTCACTATAAGGTTTCTCTAATACCATGTCACCCTGACGTGGAAGGTCAAAGGAGATTTGTCCAACCTTTTCATTCATGCCAAACTGAACAATCTGAAAAAGAAAACATGATTAGCGATAGACATCCATTTTTGCTGACAGGCTAACATATTTTCACAAAATGCCCGTAAGTCTTTAGATTAACTCCACACATTTCATTGTGATCTACTCTTTAACCTGGCAAAATCTACATGGAGCCTGAAGTGGGCTGAAAGTTCTGTGTGCAGTGGCAGCAAGTGCTTTAAATTCCTCAGTAAGAAGACCAGACCAGAAGCCCATAAACAACAACCTACAAGAAAATCAGGTGAGAAACAGGAGGGGACAAATCCCAAAGCTGTAAGACCTGCATGATCCTCTCTGAAGGAGGGGAAGTAGAAAAGAAGCTTCTGACAGACCTGAGAGGATAAGAACCCCAAACCCTCCAGGTTCTTCCTGCAGAGCGTCATGTCAACCTGAGAACATCTGACCCATAAAGGGCACTGCATTTCCCGGCCCCTGAGCCGCAGGGCAGGAGACTGTGTGAAGTGGTGGGTCCAGTCTGGGCCATAAGAGCTCCAAAGCTAACAAGCAGCAGCCCCACGTTAAGCAGCAGCTTCGGGATGATTAACAAGACAAGTAACAACAAGTATTGGAGAGGCTGTGGAGAAAACCTCATTCACTTCTGCTGGGAATGTAAACGTACAGCCGTATGGAAAATAGCACAGAAGTCCCACAAAAATTAAGAATAGAATTACCATAAGACCCAGCAACCCCTCTTCTGGACATCTACCCGAAAAATTTAAAGCATTTATTCACAAAGATATATGCAGCATTACTCACAGTGGCCAAGATAGGGAGACAAAGTGTCCTTTGATAGAGGACTGGTAAAGAAGATGTGGTACATGTATGCAATGGAAGACTACTCAGCCATAAGAAAAGATGAAATACTGCCATTTGTGACAACATGGATGGACCTTGAGAATATTATGCTAACCAAAATAAATCAGAAAAAGCTATGAACCATATGATTTCACTCATGTGTGTGATATAAAACTGAAAATCATAGACACAGACAATAATTTGGTGGTTAAGGGGGAGTCATACAGGGTAAAGGGGGCTAAATATATGATAACGGAAAATGACTGGTCTTTCAGTGGTAGGCACACAATGCAATATACAAATAATGTACCATAGAAATGTACACGTGAAACTCCTATGATCCTAGCAACCAAAGTCACCCCAATAGATTTAAATTTAGAGAAGAAAAAAGCAGCAGCTTCTGGAAGTAAAATCCAAACTGACTAGAAAAGGGAAGACCCAGATAAAAGCAAGGAGCAGGAACTGAGCCAGAAGGACTCCGAAAGTAGTAGGCCATGTTTTTTAGTACATGTGCTGCCGAAGCAAGCACAGTAGGCCATGTTTTTTGAAGCTTCATGAACACATCAGAAAAGGGAATTCTAAAGCTATCAAAATAGAAAAGCTAGCTGTCCTAATCTTCCTTCCTAAGAGGCCAGGAAAACAAATTTAATGTAAAAATGAACAATAGAAAAATCCCTTATGAAGTTATTCTGAGAAGAAAAGAAGAGCAGCAGAATAATGTCTCCACATAGATAAGAAAAGCAAGATGTAAAGACGTCCATAAAACAGATGAAAGCTATAGTCTAGACTCCAGAAAAGGCTAAAAGAAATCAGAAAAATGATAGAAAATGTATAACAGCATAAATCAAGATCAGAAAAGCTCAGATGGGGTTCAAGGAAAAAAATATAAAAGACAAATTATATTTAAAATAAAGATTGAGCCAGAAACAACATGAGCAAACAAATACAACAAATAATGTCCTAAGAAATAGAAAGTAAAGACAATAGGGTGAAAAAATTATATGCATTATTAAAAGGATTTGAGAAAGTGACAGATCCAGAAGAGCTGACATATGAGAAACAGGAGTGCCCCAAAAAAGTCATTTCTTTTCATAAGTTCTGACCAATTTACAATGGATTTCTTTTAAGAAATAATCTTGGCTTATGAAGCCTAAACCAGTCAAACTCAGTGTTACCGTTTCAGAGCCATTCATGACTAACTCTCATGCAAACGTGAGATGAGGAAGCAGCACTCCATTTCATACTTACTTGGGCATATGCACTCTGAGTCACTTTTTTCAGGTCATCTTGAGCACCAGTTGTAATTCTTCCAAAGAAGATTTCTTCCGACACCCGGCCACCCAGAGTCATGCACATCCTGTCCAAGAGCTGCTCTTTGGTGTACAGGTACTGCTCTCTGGGTAAATACTGAGCGTAACCCAGGCCTTTGCCCCTTGGGATGATGGACACCTGACAAATACAAAACATAACACTGCTGGGGATTCCACCACCAAATGTAGAATTGTTCACAGCATTTACAGATAAATTCACTTATGAAAAATAAAAGCATAGCAGTTGGGCAATCCATCAGCTTTGGCTAAATGAGATGGAGCAGGAGTGACTATGTAGAAGTATTTGCTCTTAGGATAACTTCACCTTTGGAGTCCTAGAAATTATGTTTGTAAACTCAATTGAAATGATTCAGTCTTGAAAAAAGGCTGCTGGCATGTGGTCAGTCCTCCTGAGAGCCTGAATTCAGTGAAGGCTCCACTCACCCTGACTGAGCGATGGCCACGCTCTTTGTACAGGAGGCACGTATGGCTGACCAAGGCACTCAGCAGCTTTCATTTCATTTTCTAGTCCTCTTTTTGCAATTGAGTGAATTCCTTTAATTTTCAAAAGTCCCACTTTATGAAGGGATGATTTACATGTAAAAAATGCACCCATTTAAAGTGTACAGTTCAATGAGTATGTTTTTTCCCAATTTTGGAAGTGCTTTTACTTATTTTTCTTTTTAAAATATTTTTATTGATTTCAGAGAGGAAGGGAGAATGAGATAGAAATATCATTGATGAGAATCATTAATTGGCTGGCTCCTGCATGCCTTACACTGGGGATTGAGCCCAAAATCTGGGCATGTACCCTTGACCAGAATTGAACCTGGGACCCTTCAATTCCGAAGGCCGATACTCTATCCACTGAGCCAAACCAGCTAGGGCAACTGTTTTTGTTTTTTTAATATACTTTATTGATTTTTTACAGAGAAGAGGAGAGAGGGATAGAGAGCCAGAAATGTCAATGAGAGAAAAACATCGACCAGCTGCCTCTTGCACACCTCCTACTGGGGATGTGTCCGCAACCAATGTACATGCCCCTGACTGGAATCAAACCTGGGACCTTTCAGTCTGCAGACCAACGCTCTACCACTGAGCCAAACCGGTTTCGGCTAGGGCAACTTTTACTTACTTTAAACAACTCTTCAGTTTTTGAAAAATGTGGGTGGCTCTTTCTAATTACACCTGAATACTGACATATAAAACATGAATTGTAAGGCTTGGAGAGAACACATCAAAAATGATGGAGGTGCTTATTTAGAGGTCTGAGTTAATAGCACATAGTTGTGCAAACACTTGCTCTTGAGTCAATTTCTAAGATCAATGAGTCTTGACAAACTTAACCTACCACAATGAAGATACAAAATACTCTTCATTCTCCCAAAGTTCCCTTGTGCCCCTCTGTATTCAACCCTTTCCCCACTCCCAGGTAACTGCACATATGCTTTCAGTCCCTATGGATTAGTTACAATTTCTAGAATTGCGTATCTGGCAGCATACAGTATGCGCTTCACTGTGTCTGGTTTCTGCTTCTGAGATTCATCCCCACAGTTGTGTGTAGTTTCATTTTTACTGCTGTGTAGCACTACATTGTCTAATCATACCAAATATACATTTCATTCTTGAACATCAGGGTTGTTTCCATTTTATTGCTATTATAAATAAAGCGGTGTAAGTCTTTGGTGGACATTGTTTTAATTTCTCTTGGGTAAATATATCTTTGATCATATGGAAGCATTTATAAGAAACTGCCACACTGCTCCCCAAAATGACAGTACCATTTCACATTTCCATCAGCAGCATGTGAGAGTTCTTGTTGCTCTACCTTCTTGCCAATCCTTTAGGACGGGCTTTAAAATTTTAACCATTTGGTATTTCCTGGAGGTTTCATTTGCACTTCCCTGATGACTAAGGATATCGAGTACCTTAAGGTGCTAATGTCTATTCATATACTACCTTTTGTGAAGTATATGCTCAAATCTTTTGCACAATTTATTAGGTTGCTTGTTTTATTACTGAGTTGGTATTTTTTTAATCCTCACCTAAGGATATGTTTATTAATGTTAGAAAGGAAGAGAAAAAGAGACAGAAAAAGAAACATTGGTAAGGTGCTTCCTGCATATGCCCCTACAGGAAATCAAACCTACAACATAGTTCTGTGCCCTGACTGGGAATCAAATTCACAACCTTTTGGTGTATAGAACAATGTTCCAACCAACTGAGCCAGCCAGCCAAGGCATTATTATTGAGTTTTAAGAGGTTTGTTGTTGTTTTTTTAATATATTCTAGATACAATTCCTTTTTCGTGTGTGTGTACTACCAAGTATTTTCAGAGAGTGTAGCTTGCCTTTGATTTTTTTAATGGTATCTTTCAAAGACCAAGGTCTTAAGTTTGATGAGATTCCATTTATCAACTGTTTCTGTGGTTCATGATTTTGTGTCCAATGAAATTTCTGACTACCCAAAGTTACAAAGATTTTTTTCCTAACTTTTTTTCCTAGAAGTTTTATAGTTTTAGTTTTATTATCTATTTCAAATTATTTTCTTACATGTGATGTAAGGGTCATTTACTTTCTTTCATAAACACTGAGCTGCCAGAATCATTTGTTGGCAAGACAATCCTTCCCACCTTCAATAAACTAGGTATCTGTTGAAAGTCAATGAACCTATTATGTAGGATGGTCTATTTCTGGACTCTATTCCATCTCACTGATCTATGTGCTAAATTTTCTCATCAATACTAGTCTTCATTGCTGTAGCTGTATACAAAGTCTAAAATCAGTGATTGTAATCCCTTCAATTTAATTGTTCTATTTTAGCTTATACCTGCAATTCCATATAAATTCCTACCCTGTATTTTGATAAATTTATCCCTTATTTCATAAAATGAATTTTTTAAATTTCACCTTTCAATTATTCATTGCTAATATACAGAAATACATTTGAACTTTGTATATGGAACTTAAATTCTGCAGCCATGATAACTCCACTTATGAGTTCTGGCAACTTCTTTTGGATTGTTTAGGATGTTTTGTGTACACTTTTAATGTTGTCTTCTCTGTGGTCGTCTTGTTTCAGGGACCCTCTCCCACTCAATTTCCAGCTGTCCCAACACAGGAAGTCAGCTGCGCTGCTTCCTGGCATCCATGCTGCACCAGTTTGGGGAATACACTCGGGTGAAAAAGCAGAAAACGTAACAGTGCTACTTGGTGCACCATGGCTTTGGTCTCTGCTTGCTTCCCCAGGCTCTCTGGGAACCCCTCTGCAAGCACAGTGTAGTGGTCAGCCAGGGCATTCTTACTTGGTTTGAGTCTCACCCTCTCTCTAGTGTTCCTGCTTCCAGGATTTCCCTGTTAAATTCAAATTTTCTTCAAATCCTGAGCTTTCTCCTCAGGCACCTCAACATGGTAAAGCCAGCATTTTCCAACACTGGTTGTGGAAAACCCTCGGGCAAGAAAGCCACAAGCACCCAATTCTAAGCCATTGTAGCTGCTACTCTTTGAGAGTAAACTCTCCCAGTGTTAGTCTGCTTTTGGAAACTTTTCAGTCCCTTTAATAGTAGTTTTCTTTCCAAAACTTTCTCTCACCGGTGGGAGAGTTTGTGTAACCACTTTCTTCCTCTGCTATTTACTATAATAGATGCTTTTGCTAAATTTCTTTAAATTTAAACATCTTCATCTATTTGCCCTTTGAGGGAATGCAATTTTCTCCTGCTGTTCAAACAACTTCTTTACCTTTAGAAGTGGGTCTGCATGTTCCAGATACCAGCCGGCAACCGCGTGGCCTGCCTCGTGGTACGCCACCGTTTTCTTCTCCTCGGGCTGCAGAACCTGGGTTTTTTTCTCTAAGCCTGACAAAAGCAAAAACCCAAAACCACTTTTATGTTAGTGACACTGATGTAAAAAGAGTTATTCAATATTTCACAGTGCCTTATCTAAAAGGTGATTTAGAGATTAAGATGCTTTAACAACCCAAAATTTATCAATCAAGGTCAGAATAAAAATAAAGGATCAACTTTAAAATATACCCAGCTACAGGGAAAATGCAGTCACTACCCATACCCCTAGGCCCACTTTTCCCCTAACTTTCCTACTCTTTTGAGCCACATATATTGTTTAGGGACTTAATAAAATTCAGCACTTAAGTCAACTTAAATAAAACATACAACCCATAGAAAACAAAGCCCAGAAAGAACTCACTGCTAGTTTAGGTATTCAGGCAAAGTGCCTGCTCTGTTCCTGACGGAAGGAAGATGACAGATCAGGACATACTGACTCAGAGAGTTAGTTAGGCTGTAGCACCCAACACACTCAGCAAATAGCCCAATGGGTTCCGAGAGCCAGACGAAGCAGCAGCAGGGTACACCAGAGAATGACCCCAGGAGACCTGAGCTGGGCCTATGTGCCCACTACAGAGCTGAAGGGCCCCTAACCTCTGCACAACACTTCTTTGGCCTGGATAAAAGTGGATGCTGAACCTCGTTTGCACTTCTGTACTGTAGAAACTCACTACACAGTTTGTACTAATACAGATCATCACACCAAGACAGAAGTAGTTTTGTTGTGTTCAATAACTAGAATTTCTCAACTGATAACACATTGAGTCTAGAATTCCATTGGACACCCTGCAACTGAGACTCAGCACATCTCATCTTCTGCCAAACCAGCTGCCTCAGAGCCCCCGGCAGCCTGTCAGGCTGTTCCTTTCTTCTGCCTCTGTCCTTTGGGACTACCCATGCTAAAGCTGCCATCTCACATCAATGACTCCACCGTTCTGTCCCCAGATGCTTCCCTATTCTTCAGAGTCAGATTCACTCTCCTAGACTACTATTGATTGATTATCATATTACTCAGTGGCTCAGGAAAAAAACCAACTGGCTATAGGATATTTAAAAAGTCCTTGAGGTTAACATTCAAGTCTTCCTAAAATCTAGACTTAAATAACGTTCTTCAACCTTGCCTTACTTTAAACAGGAACTGAGTCTGATCAGTTTACTTTCCCAAAACAACAACCAGATTGGTGTAATTCAAGGGAAGACACCTCATTCACTGCTAGCTACCCATGTGAGTGAGGCTGCCATCACCATCTCAGACTCACCCAACACCTACACCACCCATCTCCTTGCAGACCGCAGAGGGAAGAGGTTTGCAACACCAGAGGAACACAGCAGGTGCATGGTGAGCCCCACAGCTAGGGAAATATACCTTTCTTCGCTTCTACATCTTGCCAAAAAAATTCCTGGCCTCAAATTCATCTTATCAGCCTTATGACTTAAGTTACATTCAGTTGCCTTACCACCAATCACTCTTTCGATTGCTTGTTCAAAGTGTTTCTGGTTTATGGACTCTGAAAGGTGTCTCGCAGCAATCAAAGCAGCTTCATTACAGACATTAGCTACATCAGCTCCTACAAAATGAATATACAGAATAGCTTACTCACCAAATGTGTCTACTCAAACTGATTAGTCACATTACAGACAACCAAATTCATAGTCAATTTCTCAACCAGCAGATTGGATAAGGGTTTTATGTAAATATAAGTCAGTTTCATTGATGATAACCCTAAGGTATTCTAGCATTCAGTAACAACCTGATAATCCTGGCCCAATGAACTAAGGTAGAAGTATTAGTAGTAGTTATATGGTTCATATAAACAAAGATAGCCCTCGCTGGTTTGGCTCAGTGAATAGAGCATCGGCCTGCAGACTGAGGGGTCCCAGGTTTGATTCCAGCTAAGGGCACATGTCTGGGTTGCAGGCTCAATCCCGAGTGGAAGGCGTGCAGGAGGCAGCCGATCAATGCACTTGATCTTAGCCAAAAGGCCGAGAAGCGATTGCAGCCGATCAATGATTCTCTCTCATCATTGATGTTTCTGACTCTCTAACCCTTTCCTTTCCTCTCTGAAATCAATATATATAAATATATAAATAAATAAATAAATAAATAAAAGCTAGTATTTAAAAATGCTCATTAGATAAGAGATCAACCGAAGGACTTTTATACATGCTTATAAGTACAACCAATGGACACAAAACTCTGGGGAGGGAGGGGATGTGTGGGAGGGAAGGAGGGAGGCAAAAAAAAAAAAAAAAAATCAATAAAATATTAAAAAAAAATGCTCATTAATTAACAGTCCTATTTCTGTTGGGAAAATTACTTATGTGGATATTACACAGTATGCTGACATAAAATAAAAAACAAAAGCATTAAAATAACCTAGTGCATTCAAACAATGAAAGTTAAAATTGTGAAATATGCCAAATGCTTTCTAAGGCTCTTTGAATTAACTTTTCAGACAAAGTATATGATAATACAAATAAACTATAACATAATATATATGCCCAGCAAACAAATATTAAAATGCTATAAACAGCAAAGTCCAAAAACAAAAAGCAAATAAAAAGTTAGGACCCTGAGACATCTGAGAAATCTATCTTCCTCTAACAATGAACTTGTTATAATCTCCTCATACTTTTCAAATGCTCCTATTTATTCGAGTTTGGAAGAGGGAGGTAGGAAATCTATCTTGCATAAATGTTTTAAAAACATTTTGCATTTAAGAATTCTTGGAAAAAGCACATTAAAAGATGTTCAACATCATCTTTACTACACATTACACAAATACACATCAAATCCTTGAGATACCACTTCACACCCACTACGATGGTTGTAGTAAAAAAGACAATGACAAGTGTTGGTGAGGATGTGAAGAAACTGGAACCCTCATACTCTGCAGATGGGAATGTAAAATGGTGCGGCTGCTGTGGAAAACAACTTGGCAGTTTCTCAAAAAGTGATTCAGCAATTCTACTCCTACATATATAATCAAGAGAAATGAAAACATATGTCCATATAAAAATATGTACATAGATTTTAATAATAGCATGATTCACAATAGCCAAGATAAAAAATTTTAAAAACCCACAAATGTCCATCAACTAATAAATGGATAAATAATATGTGGTAGCCCTGGCTGGTTTGGCTTAGTGGACAGAGCGTCAGCCTATGGACTGAAGGGTCTCAGATTCAATTCCAATAAAGGGCACATGCCTGGGTTGTGGGCTCAATCCCCAGTGGGGGGTGTACAGAAGGCAGTCAATCAATGATTCGCTCTCATCATTGATGTTTCTCTCTCTCTCTCCCTCTCTTTTCCTCTCTGAAATCAATAAAAATATATTTTAATAAGTGGTATATCCATATAATAAAATGTTATTCAGCCATAAAAAAAAAAACCATGAAATTCTGACACGTACTATAACATGTATAAAGTCTGAAAACATTATGCTGCATGAAAGAAGACAGATACAAAAGACCATCCTATATAATAAAAATTGTATCAATTTGTTGAGACTGGTTTGGCTCAGTGGATAGAGCGTCGATCTGCGGACTCAAGGGTCCCAGGTTCGATTCCGGTCAAGGGCATGTACATTGGTTGCGGGCACATCCCCAGTAGGGAGTGTGTAGGAGGCAGCTGGTCAATGTTTCTCTCTCATCGATGTTTCTAGCTCTCTATCCTTCTCTTTCTCTCTGTAAAAAATAAAATATATATATTTTAAATTATATCAATTTGCTAATACGCAAATTGTTCTCTCAACTGGGAGTTCGACCAGGGAGCAGGGCTGGCCAGACAACTGTCTGTGGCCTCCATGGCCTCTCCCCCTGCATTGCAGCCAATCGGGGGCAGGCAGCTGGACCCCACCTGCATGAATTCGGCACCAGACCTCTAGTCCCATCTAATAAAAGGGTAATATGAAAATCAACTGGACGGCAGGACCACCAGTTGCTATGATGTGCACTGACCACCAAGGGGCAAATGCTCAATGCAGGAGCTGCCCCCGGTGGTCATTGCGCTCCCACAGGGGGAGCACCGCTCAGCCACAGGCCAGGCTGATGGCTGGCAAGCACAATGGCCTGCCTCCATGGCAGCACTAAGGATGTCCGACTGATGGCTTCCAAACTGCAAAAGGGCACAGGGACCCCTCCTCCCCCAAGTGCACGAATATCATTCACCAATCCTCTAGTGTTATATAATTCTCTATATATATGAGAGTAGAGGATAGAAAAAACTATACATACAAAAAATAAATTAGGGGTTGCCTACGGCTAGGAGTGGAAGGAATGGCTGCTTATGGATTCTTTTGGGGTGATGAACATATTTTTAAGTTATAGTGATTGGCTTCAAAACTATAGTGAATATACTAAAAAACACTGAATTGTATCTTTTAACAGAGGTGAATTTGATGGTATCTTAATTTTATTTCAATATTGAGTTGTTTTTTAAAAAAAAAACACAAATAATTTCTGTAACATTAATGGATAAAATGATATGCTGTCAAGGAATTTGTGACAAGTTACCCAGAGACAGAGGAAGAGGGTGAAGGTATAGACAAAGTTAGATATGAATTAAGAATTGTTCCCAAAGTTAGGTGATGGGTGCAGAGGGGTTCATTACACTATTTTCTCAACTTGTGTGTTTGAAATTTCCCAAATAAAAAGTAAAAATATACACCTAGGAAGCCCCGACATGTGAAGTAACAAAGTAAACTGGTGCTTGGCAGCTGTCATTGATTTAAAAAGGACTTATAAACAGGAAGTGTTTATTTTCCACTCACCTGAAAACCCTGGGGTTAAGGATGCAAGTTTTCTTGCCAGGTGATCCCTTTCCAAGGAACTGTCCAGTTTTAGGGGTCTGAGGTGAACTTTGAAAATAGAGGCTCTTCCTTTTATGTCCGGTGGTCCTGGAGAAATTATTTTTAGGGGGGGGGGGATCAGTGAAACTGTGACATCCTCACAAAAACTGGACTAACCCAACGAAAACCATCTTACCAATAAAGATTTGCCTGTCAAAGCGCCCTGGCCTCATCAGTGCGGGATCTAGGATATCTGGTCGATTGGTGCCTGCCAAAATGACTACATTTGTTGTTGTGTTAAAACCTGAAAAGATAACAAAGATGCAATTATTAAATGACATGAGGCAGAAAGTAACAATGTGCCTGTGAAGAATGTACAAGCACTACAGACATATGACACTTAATATTTTTTCCCAATTTATTATCCAATGAATTTTAAGTCACAAACATAAATGACCTTTCTTACTATTCATCTTGTCCTTAATAACACTAGTAAGACTCAAAACATTAAGAAGCAAATTTCTCAAGACAAATGATCAAAGATTTTAATTTATTTAACTAAAAATTCAGATTATATTGTTAATTTTTAAAGTTTTATAATCAATAAGATTAAAACTTGCAAATGATGTGTCTAAACTCCCTGGGCCATGGGACAGCCACTGCATAATTGAAAACACCTCCAACAACTTCTCCAGGCTAATCTTGCTCAGTTTTACTGGCCATTTCTCAAATGTCAAGGCCATAGCTGCAGGACCTTGGCACCTCAAGAGTTCAGAAGCTAATTTCCCCCAAAGAAGGCTCTCTGATTGAAATATGTAGTGCTGCTCGTGGGCTGACCACCCTCTGACTCTGGATACAATGCCCACTCAGTAATGCAAACTGGCTCAATACTCGACACTGCCTCCTCTTTCTAAGCACTCAAGAGCATCCACATACCTTATGGCATAAAGAAACTGGCACATCCTAAGAATTGGCTTTCCCAAATAAATTTTAAAAAGCTGACTACCATGGAAAGATTGCTGCTTTCTAAGTAAAAGTATTCAAAATTTGCCAAATTCACATGGTTACAAATGGGTTTTTCTGATGCTTCAAAATCATAGTTTTGAGAATGAGACTATAAGTCTTTTGTAAATCATTTCACCAATTTTTCTCTTATTCAGCCCCAGATACAAATACCAGCCTTTAAAAAGGCTATTTCTTAAGGACAATGCTTTTTATCTTTTGGTACTAAATATGAGCACAAGGATTTTCCTTTGAGATACCCTATCTAATAAAAAGGGAATATGCTAATTGATCATCAAGCCCTCACAAAGATGGCAGTGCCCACAGACAATATGCTAATTGACCATCACACCCTCAGATGGCAGTGTTCAGTCCCCTCAGCCCTGCCAGGGCAGCAGGCACATGGCATGGCCGGGCACGCCCCCAGGGGGGTCTGGCCGCTCTGCATGCCTACCTCCAGAGTCCCCCAGTCCCCTCAGTCCTCCAGCTACCCAGGGCCAACTCAAGGCGCAGGCAAGCCTTGTATGTCGGCTGCCCAGACACCCAGGGCTGGCCCAAGGCTCAGGTAACCAGGGCCAGCCGAGGCTCGCACTGCCAGGAGTGGCAGCAGCAGAGGTGTGATGGGGGTGTCACCTTCCCCTGATCACCAGGTCACCTCCAACCTGAGGGCTCCCAGACTGTGAGAGGGGGCAGACCGGGCTGGGGGATCCCCCTCCAGTGCACCAGGCCTCCAGTAATATATAAAAAAGCGTAGTTTAAAATCCAAAAGACTTGAAAATTCACCATCCATTTCCACAAGCAACTGATTAAGTGTATTCTCCTGTTCACTCTGCCCGCCAAAGTTGCCTCTTCCTCTCTTCCTTCCCACGGCATCTATTTCATCAATGAAGAGAATACAAGGGGCATTCTTCCGAGCAAGGGCAAATAAGTCTCGAACCTGAGTAAAAATATAAATAATAGTCAGTTGACAAATGAATACTATTTATCCTCCAAATAAAAAATAAACATCAACTTTCCTGTCCCACAGGAAGAAAATTCTTTTGTGTGTGCTCTACTATACAGTACATATTTTAAAAGTTACAAGCAGCAAAGAAGTGGCAAGTAACTTGGTGAGTAACTGATTTAACATGAGCAAATGTCTATAATCTCAAATTTGACCTTTTTATCACATCTTATTAACTAAAAATGGATATTAATTTGAAATAGATCATAAATCTAAATTAAACCACTGAAACTACAAAATCTTTAGAAGAAAACATAGGGAAAATATTTACAACCTTGATTTGGCAATAGATTCTTAGTTGACACTAAAAGCACAAACAACAAAAGAAAAAAAAGCATAGATATATTGGACTTCATCAAAATTTAAAACTTTGGTGCTTTACTCTCAAAAATGTGAAAAGACAACACACAGAAAAAAAGAAAATATTTGGTTTAATGGATAGAGGATTGGCCTGAGGACTGAAGAGTCCCGGGATTGATTCCAGGTAAGGGTATATGCCTGGGTTATGGGCTCGATTCCCAATGTAGGGTGTGCAGGAGGCAGCCGATAATGATTCTCTCATCATTGATGTTTCTCTCTCTCTCTCTCCCTCTCACTTCTACTCTGAAATCAATAAAAACAATATATTTAAAAGAAAATATTTGCAAATCATATATCTGACTAGGCAGTTAGTATCCATAATATATAAAGAACTCTTACAACTCAACAAAAAGAGAACCCGATGAACAGACTGCAATCGTGGTCAGAGTGAGGGAAAGTGGGGTGAAGTCACAGGCCTTGCTGAGGCTTTTTCCTGGAAGAGTGTGCAAAGCAGTGACTGCAGAGGAGTCACTCCACAGGACCCCAGGCACAGGGCCATCTTTACCAAATCCCCATTTCAGGGGAATAAAGGAGGAGAAGGAAGAGGAGGAAGTTGCACCATCAGAATAAAACAAGACTTACCCTAGCTGGACCCACACCAACAAACATCTCTAAAAACTCGGATCCACTAACAGTGATGAAAGGGACGTTGGCTTCTCCGGCCGTGGCCTTGGCCAGCAGTGTTTTCCCGGTGCCTGGAGGGCCAGTGAGAATGGCGCCCTTCAGATATAAAAAGAGAAAGTTTATTTAACTAGAATTTCAGAAAAGTAAATTGCACATCTATAGGTAATTCCTAGGTACAAATTATATAAAATTTTAGTGATATGCACTAAATATTTCTTAAACACTTGAAGGTAGAATATTAGTAAGAAGAGGAAGAAAAGGATTATTAGACTATATTACTTTTGAAAATTCGATCAGAATGTGAAACCTTAGATACTTCCCTTATTTTATAAGATGTTTACTGTTACTTTTTAGACCTTTCTAACAGTACATAAAGGATGACTTAAGCTAGGAAACTACTAATAAACTAACAGGGAGAGAGAAACCAACTAAGGTTTACTTAAATAATTTAAGGAGACACAAACATTACACTCCCAATTTATATTCTACTTATTTTATTCCCTTCAAAATTTCACAAATGAAATAAAAATTTACTGACCAATGGTGAACTAAAAAAATATATATACATATATTTAATTAAAAACTATAATTACTTAAATTGTGAAGATAACTAAATACGATGTATACTGGTAATTAAGTAAGCTAATAGCAAATTATAAAAATGAGTTTTTATCCATATAGGTAGGATACAAAATCAAGGAAGCAATGATTCCCTTTTCAAAGGTTTCCTTTAAAGTAAATGTTATTAATGGATTTTTAAAAGAACTAGTTAAAATTTTCTGATTCAGCCGAAACTGGTTTGGCTCAGTGGTAGAGCATCGGTCTGCAGACTGAAAGGTCCCAGGTTCGATTCCAGTCAAGGGCATGTACCTGAGTTGCGGGCACATCCCCAGTAAGGGGTGTGCAAGAGGCAGCTGGTCGATGTTTCTCTCTCATCGACGTTTCTAGCTCTCTATCTCTCTCCCTTCTTCTCTGTAAAAAACCAATAAAATATATTTTTTTTTAAAATTTTCCGATTCATTTACTTAATGACTGAGGCTGGCCCTGGGAGTATAACGATTAGCAAGGCCAGCTGACCACCAGCTGTGGTCACAAGGATGTCTGCTAAGAAGAAGGAAGGCAAGAATTAGTGCTGTCTGGCTCTTGTCCACTGAGTCCTGTGCCATGGATCTCAGAGCCAAGCCCAGGAGGGGGTCTATTCAGACCTGCTGAAGGAGGGGCAACTGGGTGACAGCAGGGAGGAATATGCTCAGGGCACTGCAGCTGCTAAGAAAGGGGTATCTAAAGCAGGCTGGAGGGAGAAGGACGGCAACTCAAGGAAAGCTTCCAAGAGCCGAAAATACAAATCTTTTGGAATATATACATAGTACATGCAAGAACACACATTCCCACACACTAAGCAACCCCAAAAAGACCCTTGAGTAAGCAGAGACTAATAAGTTAAGAGAAAAGAAAAAACAGCTTCTTTATAATGAGTAATCAAACTTCATAAAATTATAACTTCAGAGATCAAGAAATAATTCAAGAGATTTTGGGGTTAATGAGTTGGAAATAACCTCTGGAAGTTTACTTTACCTTTGGAATTTTTGCTCCTAGGTCTTGATACTGCTTTGGGTTTTTCAAGAAATTCACAAATTCCATTATCTCTAGCTTGGCCTCCTCGCAGCCAGCCACATCTTTGAACTTCACATCTATCTCATCCTTTAAGACCTTGGCAGTGGTTTCTCCAACACTGAAGAGTCCACCCATACCACGGCCTGTCCGACCAATACCAGCAGGCCCCCTTCGTATGGTATACAGTAAGAAAGCGATGATGAGCACCGTGGGCAACATGCTCAGGAGGAAGGAACTAAAAAGGGAATCATACACAAGAGCAACATACCTTTAAGACTGCTAATCACTGGCTTTTTTAATGTTTTGCAAGATATACTTTCGTTGTTGTTGTTAATCCTCATCTAAGGTTATCTTTTTCCATTGATTTTTAGAGAGTAAAGGGAGAGGGAGAGAGAAACATTGATGGGAGAGACACAATGAATGATTGCCTTCACTCCCTCAGGTGCCCTGACTGGGGCCAAAATCAAACCTGCAAGCTAGGTACATGTCCTTGACCAAGAATCGAACCCATGACCTTTCAGTGTGTGGGCCAGTGCTATAACCACTGAGTCACATTGTTCAGGGCAGCATTTACATATTTAAATTTATACCATTTTATTATGAATTTTTTTCTTTCTCCTACTTATTATAGTTCTTATACTGATTTCTTTTCAAAATCGTGCATATACTTAATGATTGTAAAAGGGACATTATAAAATATAATAATATCCCATCCTTGAAGGAATGGCATCAAAACTGCTAATATTTATCTCTGGGTATTGAGGTTATAAATGCTTATTTTCTTTGTACTTTCTTAGTTTTCAACAGAGAACATATACTGCCTGCTTAACAGACTTCCTGTTGAACTCTCAGATATGGGTATAAGATTTTTAGTCCCACTACTTATACAGTAGCAATTGTTACTGTGCTTGCTTGTGCAGTATCGGTGATGATGTGCACTGCACAGCCACTCTGCCCGGATTGTGCGGTTTGAGACAGATTCACAGCTGGTTAGCTCTCCAAACCTAAGGGGGAATGTGCTCAGAAATGACTTAAAGCATGGGGATGCCTTTTGTCTATTTGTCTCAGGTCAAAAACCAGTATGTACTTTTAATTTTTCATCCTTTACAATATGGTAAACGCTCCTACAGCAGGCAACAAGAACCATGAAAAATTTACATTTGGTTTATTTCTGGAGGACACAACAACACTGACAATAAAAATGTAAAGAATGGTGCAATAATACTTTTGTAATGTTTCAGCACCAGCCTATAAAGTTAAATAATTATACTACAGCCTCAAGGGCTGAGAGATATATCACCTGTGAGACCACTTCAATAGCTATCTAAGTCTAAATACTGCAGGTAGGTTGTAGGTTTACATAAACCAGGATTCAAGAAGGTCCCTAATGAGCAACCTAACAGCTCAATCAACTCTCCATTTCTCTGCTTTCATATACACAAAAAAATGAACATTTATTTCTATTTTCACTTTCAAATTTCTAACTCTAGAGCAAGGTATACCTTCAGTATTTAATGCAAATGGAGTGATCTACCTGGCTGTACCCTGATGACCCCTCAAAGGCAATATAATTCCTAAATAAACTTAAAGACAAGTGACTTCTGAAATCACTTCTTGAAAGACTCAGACTTCTAAGTGGCTTTGTTAAAGACAAGTAACCCCGAAGAGAAGCAGCAACTTTGACTCTTGGAAAATTCTGGAATATAAATGTGAATGTAGTTAAAAGGTAGGAATGCCACTCTTTAACACATCATAGCTCTTTAAGCTAAGATCCTACTAAAAGTGCAATGGGTATGAATACCCCAAACCACTGCTTAATCATTATAAATGTGTAGAAAAATCTATCAGTTACTAGCAAAAACTAGTAAATTACCAATGGGTTTTTAAAAAATCTGGCCAAACTGAAAAAGGCTTATTTGACAATCTAATGTGTAACCGGCATGTACTTAATAGATAGAACACAAAGTGAATCATGAGCATGGTGAACAGTCTTCAACATGTTTAAGTATTTTCACTGCTTCTTACCCATCGCTTTCAGCAATATAGACAACAGGTACCCGATGCTCCCCTTCTATGCCCAATTCCTGCTGTAAAGTTTCCAGATTCCGTTCAAAGGTGTCCACACTGCCAATATTAAACCAGACGTATTGCTATAAAAACAGAAAAACAAAATATCCTAAGAATGAAGGGGGAACAAGAGTTTAATTCATTAAAGGGTTCAGCTTTTAAAGAATATTTTAAGGGATACTACAAGTTTACGAATTAAAAAACCCAACAATAATAAAAGACAGGTTTTAACAACACAGTTATTAAGTTTCACTCCGTGAGAACACCTAGCAATCCTTGGCAAATAAGCATTTCTTAAGCAATATTCCACACTAGTTTTAAAAGTATAAGCTCAAAAGAATAAAAAATCTATTTGAAAACAATGCTTTTTTATCTTTTCAGAAATAAATATACTTATTTTACCTCTTCTCCACTTCCCAGTTATTTCTCAGCTACCTATTCCCAAACTACTACTAAAAGCTAATGTGACACAGTAATAACAACCAAAGTAAAACCTTAACTGCAATATGAAGGAGAAAGTAATTCAAAATAAAGTGGTATAACTTTCACACGTCAATGCTTGTGCCTGCCAATACTGTGACCCTTCCCCTCTGGGGAGAACGCTGCCCACTGAGAGCCCCACTCCAGCCGAGGGATTAATGCTCCAGCGAAGTGAGGAGCCCTACTGGTAACCAGGCCTAAGGTAGACATTTATCTATGTATAATTTTTGCTCCATAAACAATGATTTAAAAAACATCCTTATATAGACATCTTCAGATTCCCGTCAAGGGCATGTACCTTGGTTGCGGGCATATCCCCAGTAGGGAGTGTGCAGGAGACAGCTGATTGATATTTCTCTCTTATCAATGTTTCTAACTCTCTCTCCTTCTCCATTCCTCTCTATAAAAAAATCAATAAAATATATTTAAAAAAATAAAGTCTTGGAATACTACTAAAAACTGGGATTTCTCTCACTGTTTCCTAAATGCATGGCCAAAATGATTACTAAAACCAAAACAATCCTCAGATCACAATTATGTAGGCAACACGCACATTCTCACCTATGGTAGTGAAGGTTATAACTGCTGCACTGCCCAGTGCTGGCATGTCCAGTGTATGTGAGGGAATGTTTGCTTTTCAGCTTTAAATCTGAGGAGTTAATTTACAGCTAATGCACATCAATTAATAAAATCATTTACCCCATCAACAGGAGTTTTCCCTGGTGTAAAAGTCACTCGAACAAAACGCTTGTTGACGACTTCCAGTCTGTCTACCTGGAATTTTAAAGTTAAATATTCAAACATAAGTGTACAGAAAAGACCTGAGGTATTCTTTTAAGCTCATTTAAAATGCATATAATATTTCAGGCATACAAAGAATGATGATAAATAATTTAAGGATAACCCATTTCTCCCTTCTGGCTTGAAAAATAAAATACCACACACTGCTGACGCCACCAGTCTCGCCCTCTCCTGCAGAGGTGGCCACTCTGCATTACGTGCGGACCATCCCAAAGCACTGTACCATGCACAAGTGTCACCCTACACATACACTCAACAACAAAAACAGTGTCATTTGATATGTATTCTTCCACAGCATTGTCTTTCTTCCTTTTGTTCTGTCTGTGAGGTTTATCCACACTGACATGTCAGTCTGTGGAGTATTCCACTCCATTGAGCACACCTCAAATTATTTATCCATCCTTGTCATAACAGACATTGCAGCCATTTGAAAATGTTCGTTATCACAAACAATGCTGTCATGAACATTCCTGTAAAACCTTCCCACTCCCTTTCTCTCTGTAAAAAATCAATAAAATATGTTTAATTTTTAAAAGGGGATTTTATAGCAAATTTGGGGGTTGCTGGGTCAAAACAAACAGGTTTTTTGGTTGCAGTACTTTTCAGCATTAAAAAAATCCAATATGAAAATAGTACCTCTTCAATGGACAGGCTTTGCTAACTCGTTGACGGTCACTTTATTGACCTAACCCACTGGTTTTACCTTTTTAACCATAGTAGCCTCCAATCTCATAAAATACTTACTACTCCTTTGGAAAGATAGTTGTTGACAAAGTCCTTCCATGTGATTTCTCTTCCAGAGCTCTTGAACAAGAAGTAAAACATGACTCCACCCCAAAACAGAGTAGTCCAGAGAAAGTACATCCTGAATTCCTTGTCATCCCATGGAAAGTCACCCTGGGCAAAAAAAGAGACTGTTACTGTGAAGAATGAAATGTCCCAATACGTTCTATGTTATGTTAGACACAAACATACATCTCCCAATGCCATTAATGCCTCCTAACTTTCCTGGGGCCAACCCAGGTCCTCAAAATTAACAAACAGCTGAGAATCTAACCTTCTGAAACCTGGTCCACCAATGAGAATCCTCTTTCTTGCCACCTCGTTTTCCACCGCCACCAACTCCTCCTCCAGAAGGTCGTGGGGAAGCAGCTGGCTTTGATTCTGTTCATAAACAAAGCGCATATACAGCAGCGTAGCAGGTTTTTATATCTCAACATGTTTCCGTTAATAGTTAATAAAGTATATATTATAAAACACATTATGGCAACTGACCAGTAACTAAAGTACTATGAGGAAGGATGAGACTAATACAAAGAGTAAACATTCAAGGAGACTTGTCAGTGCTTTATGTAATTATCTCATGAAATCTGCAAAATAACCCAATAACCTGGTAATTACACCCATTTTCCAGATGAAGAAATTGTAGCTTAAAACGTGAATTGTCTGTTATAGTGTTAAGTGATAGTAAGTGACAGAGAGGGGTGAATGCAGGAAAGTGAATTCCTGAGTTCTCACTGGAAGGTAAAAAGGACTCTGCTTTCCCACTCCCATGAAGTGGACAGTTAACAGGTTTTTCTGTAGGAAAGACAAGATTCTGAAAACTGGCTTTAAAAACAAAATAAAATATTAAAAACCCTACCCACATAAAATTAGTTTGCAAGAATCTGAAATTAGTCACTGTTATGGGTTGAATTGTGTCCCTCCTCCCCTAATTCATATGTTGGAGTCCTAACCCCCGTGGTCATATTTGGAGATAAGATCTTTACAGAAATAATCAAGTTAAAATGAGGTCCTGTGGGTGGATCCTAATCCAATATAATTGGTGTTTCATAATGCAGACTGGTGCAGCCACTATGCTAAGTAATATGGAGTGATCCCACTTCTAGGAATGTATCCTAAGAATCCCAAAACACCAATCAGAAAGCATATATGCACCCCCATATTCACAGCGGCATTATTTATAATAACTAAGACCTGGAAAAAGCCCAAGTGCCCATCAGTAGATGAGTGAATAAAAAAGCTGTGGTACATTTATACCATGGAATACTATACAGCAGTACAAAAGAAGGATCTCTTACCCTGTGAGACAGCATGGAGGGACCTGGAGAGCATTATGCTAACAAAATAAGCCAGTCAGAGAGAGACAAGTATCACATGATCTCACTTATATTTGGAATGTAATGAACAAAATAAGCTGATTAACAAAATAGATCCAGAGACACAGAAGCATGGAACAAACTGAAAAATCTCAGAGGGAGTGAGGGGAGATTAACCAAAGAAATTATACGTATATAAGCACAGTGAAGGTCTGGAGAGGGCGTGGGAGTGGGGTGGAGGAGGTTAATGGGGTGAAAAGGGGGACATCTGTAACACTTTCAACAATAAAGACAAATTTTTTAAAAGGGTGGGGAGGGAATTTGGACACAGACATGAATAAAGAAAGTCCATGAAGACACAGAAAAGACAGCCATCTGAATCCCTGAAGACACTGAAGAACAACTTGAAAAAATGGACTATACCACCATGTGTGTCAAATAAACTGCTTGTATTAGGTTTCTAAGATTTTTCTCAGTGACTTAAATTATGTGTCAAATATATTCGTTAAATATGACTGATATTGATCAGTCATTATCTCTAAGGTGACCTTAAATTAATTCAACTTGAAAAATGACAAGAAAATGTAACGAGAAAATTAAAGATAAAATAAGACACCAAGTGTAATACCGTATGTACTTGTAACCTACTAGTTTCAGAATTGCCTTAAAATAACACTCTTGTTCAGTGAAAACTATCACCAACATCATGTGTTAGAGGAAAATGGTAAGTTCAAACAAATCTTTTTAAAAGGTACCTTTTTTTTCTCCCGTAACTTCTTTAGGTTCACTAGCTTTTTTCCCATTTTTTCCATTTTTTCCATTAGGAAAGTATTTTTCAAATCCTGAAATAAAAAATACATATCCTCAAACTAAAAGTCATCAGGTTTGGTGTATGTGTGTTCATTTTTAAAGCAACTGATCCATCATTAACAAGCGTAAGCTAAAAGTGTAACATTTCTTATATAGGAGAAAATCAGTCAAATACAGTTCACAACCCAGGGGTGTAAAAGGAAGAAGTCTCATTGACATGTCAATTTCATCGTCTTCACATGTGAAGATGACACATTTTCATTTGCAATCAGACTGGAGGAGGCAGGGTGAGTTACAGCGGGAGACAACCTGAAACACCACCTGTACCCACCCCATGTAATAAACACCTACTGGGCACGCTCTTTAACAGGGAAGAACATTATGGTCACATGGGAAGTGTTTACCTTTCGGAGGACGAGAACAGAATCTTCGATAAGCAGCAATTACATCTGTCAAAAGTGAGTTTCTGCTTGTCGTTGCTTGAGTTGTAGCATAGCGATAAAGCTGCAACATGACATACGAAAGCATCAATTATAGTAAAGAATTTTTTTAAAGGGCTTCATTTCCTACTATCATAAAGTGGATGAAATGTTTCTCCCTTCAACAGGTGGTCACAGACCAGCAGAGACAGACCCTTCCTAGGGAACCTGCTACTCTATCCAGCAATAGACGTAAGTCACGATCCGGAACACAAGAATACTTCAAAATCACACAGAAGTTAGACCTGTAGCCCAACTACAACTCTGCCAACACATTCTTTTGGATATTGTTTACTTAATTTGCAGCATTCAAAAGACAAACTTGGAAAATCTGCTGCTTCATGAATAATCTGCAGGGTCTATAATACTGAAAGATTTATCTGAAATTACAGAATAATGCTGCTCGTAAACAATTTACCTAAGTTCAAAGATAAAGTTATGGTCCAACATCACTGATAATACTTATACTACTAATAGTTTTTTGTTTTGTTTTGTTTTTAAAATATGTTTTTATTGATTTTTTACAGAGAGGAAGGGAGAGAGATAGAGAGCTAGAAACGCCGATGAGAAAGAAACATCAACCAGCTGCCTCTTGCACACCCTCTACCGGGGATGTGCCCGCAACCAATGTACATGCCCTTGACCGGAATTGTACCTGGGACCCTTCAGTCCACAGACCAAGGCTCTACCACTGAGCCAAACCAGCTTCGGCACTACTAATAGTTGATAAAGATATTTAATATACTGTCCTATTTAATATATTTAATATATTGTTAAATATTACAGATACATCTGTTTTAAATAACATTTGTTGCTAAAAAGTTGTGTATAAATATAATCAAGGTAAATAAAAGTATAACATAAAACAACTGAAGAAGCTTCCCATTACATTTTTAGTACAGTTAAAAGCAATCAAAGGCAAGGCACATTGAGGGGATATATCCAAATCTGGGAGTGAAAAAACTCAAGTAATATTATCCTTCTGCAAAGTAAAAATTTACCACCATTTTTTTTTTGGAGGACAAACTTTTAAATACAAATGAGAATGTTTAAAATGAAGTGCATCTATATTAGCATTCATCATTGTTAGCCTCCTTTATGGTCTGATGAGAAAAGTAAAGCATCACAAAACCACTTCACATTCACTAGAGTAGCAATAACCAAAAAGACTGACAATAACAGTGCTGGTGAGGATGTGGAGAAAAGTGGAATCCTCATACGCTGCTGGTGGGAATGGGAAGTAGTGCAGCCACCTGGAAAGTTTGGAATTCTCAAACTGTTAAATGTCTCTCTGGCCAGGTGGCTCAGCGTCCCATTCACCAAAAGGTTATGAGCTTGATTCCTCGTCAGGGCACAGACCTAGGTTTCAGGTTCGATGTTTCTCTCTCACATAGATATTTCTTTCTCTCTCCCTCTCACTCTCTCTCTCTCTTTAAAATCAATGGAACTATATCCTCAGGTGAAGATTAAAAAAAAAAAAGTGGTACATTCATACAATGGAATATCATTCAGCCATAAAAAGAAATGAAGTACTAATAAATGCTACCACATAGATAAGCCTTGAAAGCATAATGCTTAAGTTCAAGAAATCAGACACAAAAAGCCACACATTATGATTCCATTTATATGGCACGTCCAGAATAGGTAAATCCATAGAGAATGTAAATTAGTAGCTGCCTTGGGCTAGAGGAACGACTGGGGAGAAATAGGGAGTGATGGTTATAAATATGTCAAAAATCACACTTTAAGATAATAAAGTTTATGGTATGAGAAAAAATGTCAATTAAAAAAAACAAAAAATGAGCTTATTTAACTTCAAATTAATACACAATTACACAGCAAAACAGGACAGAAACACTGATACTGTTCTTGATTGACAGCTATGCTGGTCTGACGTCTATCACTGTCAGCACAGAGGACTTCCTTATATGTCAACATGGATGACGCACAAGGACAATAGTGTTCCTCCAAAGAAAGGCCTTTTAGGTAAGGTTCCTGACATAAAAACTGCAAATAAATGGCAGATCCTACCTGCTCCTTATATCTAACTCCAATAATCTTTAGAGGCAAAAAGAAAGGAATTACAGCAAAACAAAACAGGGAAATGAATGCAAGGCAAGAAACTGAAAAGGGCAGTATGGAGTAGAAAGAAATGAAGATAATTCAAGACTGGTGAGGGACGTTCAAAGAGTAAAAACCATGAATACAGGTGTGGATGAAAAAGAAAAGCAGTAATAAATCTAAAGGAAAGTAACCTTATGGAGTAATCTGATCATTAAATTCCGAACTGGGCAGGTCATGGTGGGCAGCCACACCCCAGGCATTTAACTTCAAGTAAAAGTTTTATCTTTCCTTTAAGCAAGCCCTGTCCATTGCTTCTGTGCATCTAACACACTTTTGAAATGCTTCTTTTTCAGACCCCTCAGAAGCATAACCACCCTCAAGAGAACTCATAATCTTAGCCATCCTGTTATCCAATCCCCACCTTGCCTTCTCCCACCTTCATGTAATCTAGCTTGTGTTCCCTCCTTAATTTTAAATGTATAAAAGAAACTGTAAGTTGCCATTCTCCTGAGCATTTGAGATTTTGTTTCTGTCATCAGTTTGGTTCAAATAAACTCATAAAAATTCTCTAAGGTTTAGATGTTTCTCACCTCCACACAGGTACTACCAATAGCCCCTTGTAAGTGCAGAGGCTAACTCCAGGGCCTTAACCCACCAGCTCTTTTGCCTCTCTGTGGACCTCTAGTAAAACCAGAACAACGCTGGGTTCTGAGGAACTGACAGACAGCAAGAACCTGTGTCGCTGAAATAGCAGACCTCCACTACTTACTAAATCACCTTTACTGGGCCAGGACCAGTGGGCTAAGGAAACTGAGACAGACAACTTGAACAAAGTGGCCATGCAATTTACAACCAGACACAGAAAGGTCTCCTCCCTGGAGATAACATCTAAGCCTCAGTTGTATTTCAAATCCAGAAAAGCAGCAAAACCAGGACCAGCTGAACTGACCCCTGGCCCCAGCACTGACCAATGAGTAGAGACCACACCCTGAAAGAATACACTTGGAAAACTGAATATTCTGCTGAAGCCCCCCTGAGATGAGACCGGCCCTAAAATTCCCACTGACAAGAGAGAGAAGCCTCAAGAAAAAGGACAGAGAGAGAAAACCCTCAAGAAACCGGTTTGGCTCAGTGGATGGAGCCTCAGCCTGCGGACTAGAGGGTGCCAGGTTCGATTCAAGGTTAAAGGGCACATACCTTGGTTGTGGGCACATCCCCAGTGCGGGATGTGCAGGAGGCAGCTGATCGATGTTTCTCTCTCGTCGATGTTTCTAGCTCTCGATCCCTCTCCCTTCCTCTCTGTAAAATAATCAATAAAAAAATACGTTTTTAAAAGAAAAAGGGCCCAGCCTGTGCTCTCCCTTGGGGAGCCCGCCCCTTCCCTCTCAGAAGAGGCATGCGTCTCCTAAACTCTGAGAGCTCCAGGCAGGAGACCTGTAACCAGGGGAGCGATGGCGCAGCAGTTCATTCTAGACTCACCCCCGAACCTGGTCCCAAGGCCCCCTTTTCTCTGGCTTCCTTGTGGGCTAAAGCCCCTGCCTAGGCTCTCCTGTTGCTTCTAACTATACTAAGCCCTTCCTTGTTTTCGGATGCCCGGCTTTAATGCACGGACCTTCAAAGTCACCTGGACTCGTGCTGTGAAATTCTCCCTACACAAGTCAAGAGCCCAGGCGCCAGGGCCCGACCTGGACAGACCTGTTCAGGGCCAGGGCCAGGGCCCCCGCCCGCCCCGCACCAAGATGGCTGCCAGTTTGTCTACTAGCATCTGCTGGTTATCACCAAGAGAGACCACCTTCTGCTGAGGACAGGCAGGCCCGTGTCCCCCGAAGAGGGGCATTATCTTAGAACCACAGTTCAAATGTATTGACGTGTACGATGTGCCAGACACAGAACGCCAGCAATGGCCCCACTCAACAGATGGGAAAGTGGAGGCTCGTAACTCCAACACCTGTGCTTTTCTCACATCCTGCTCGGGTGCAGACACAACACATGCGCCCCATTTTTCCAATGCCATCCAAGGTGAAAACGAAGGCAACCGACGCCGAAGAAGTGACAGATATAAGTTCCTCTTAACCTTGTTAGATCTCGGTTGCCACGTTCACCCTCGCATGAAGTCACAGGGCCCTCGAAGACGATCTTTTGAAGTCCCCGGATAACAAAGATCTGACTCCATCGGAGATACATTATTTCCAAAAATCCAACACGACGCCCAGACAGGCACCGGCGTGCTCACGAGAACCACGGGACACCCGGCCCGGAGCGCGGGGCGCCCAGGTCTCTCAGGGCGGCGCACGCGGCCTCCTTCCCCGAGGAACTCGCCCCGGGCGCCCGGCGGTCCACGAGTGCGCCCCGGGGCCGGTGACCTTGACGCCCGGCTCTCCGGACCCGGAAGCGGGCCCGGCTCGGGGCGGAGGGCACAGAGCGCCCGGGACTCACCGTCCGGAGGTAGGCCTGTTTGTTGGGGCCCACGCCGCCGCCGGTAACGAGCAGCGGGGGCAGGCCGCGGGGCCAGCAGCCGCCCCGGCCCCACAGCAGCAGGCAGCGGTGCGCCATGGCTGCCGGCGCACCCCGCACGGGCCGGGGGCGCTGCGCAGGCGCGGCTCAGCGGCCGCGGACGGGCAGCGGCCGGTGGCTCCGGCCGGCGGGGGACCGTTCGGAAGTGAGAAAGCACAACGTAGTGGGCCCGCCGCTCTCGGGCAAGCCCACGCTCCCCGACGCGCGCTTTTCCCGACCCCGGCGCGCTGACGTCAGCCGTAAGGCGGGGCTTCCGCCCCGGCCGCTCAGACCGCTCCGCAACGTCACTCAAAGAAGAGCGTGGAGGGCGCGGAGGGCGGTGGGCGGAGCCGAAGAGAGAAAGGAGAAAGGGGAGTGGAGGGCGGGGCTGGAGGCGGGGCCTAATGGGAGGGGCCTGGGAGGTGGTGGGCGGAACCGAAGCGGGCGTGGGAGGGCGGGCCTTAGAGGGAGGGACCAGCAGAAGCTGTAGATCGAGTAGAGAAGGCTGCTAGGACCTCAGGGCTGCTAGGGCAGTTTCTTGGGAGCCACATGCGGCTCTTTGGCCCCTTGAGTGTGGCTCTTCCACAAAATACCACGTGCAGGTGCGCACGTACAGTGCGACTGAAACTTCGTGGCCCGTGGGCAGAAGTCAGTTTTCGGCCTGGGCGACTCTATTTTGAAGTAGTGGCGTCAGAACACTCAAGGGGCCAAAGAGCCGCATGTGGCTCGTGAGCTGCTGTGCTAGGGGGCAAAGCCACCTTAAACATCTCACTGGTCAAATGTTTGAGCACCTACTCAGTGATGGGCATCATTCTAGGCTCTAGAGGCGCCAAAACACATACCTTAACTCCTAGGAGAGCAATGCACAGAAGCACAAATCTAATTGCAATAATAAAAGTGTTGGGCCCAGCCGGTGTTGCTCAATGGTTGAGACTCGACCTATGAACCAGGAGTCCTGGTTGGATTCCCAGATTGCGGGGTCGATCCCCAGTATTGTGAGGGAGGCAACCGATCAATGATTCTTATAAATGATGTTTCTATCTCTCTCCCTCTCTCCCTCTCTGAAATCAATGTTTAAAAATGTGTTTTTTAAAGTGTTGGGACTCTGACATCTAGCTTGGGCCCATCAGGAACCATTTAAAAGATAAATGATTTTTAGAGAATAGGATGAGTTCTCCAGGCAGTGGAGACCTCTCAATTTTGTACCAGAATGGCCACTTTGTATATATATCCTGGTGGGGGAGGAGTACAGCAGGGGCACAAGTGAGAACATACCAGACAATTGTTTACTACTGCCACCATCCTATATAATAAAAGCCTAAAATGCAAATCAACTGAATGGCAGAACGACCAGTCACTATGATGTGCACTGACCACCAGGGGCAGACACTCAATGCAGGAGCAGCCTAGAGGCCTCAGGCTGGCCAAGGTAGGTGCGAGTGGGCCCCTCCTGCCCTCCCGATCGCCCCGTCAGTTGCCTTGCAGAGGGAGGTGACAGGTGGTAGGGGTGGGGGGCAGGACCAGTGAGCAAGTGGTGCCAGGCCTGCCAAGGTGGGTGCCAGCAGGGGGTTCCCCTCCCCAATCGCCCCGCGGGTTGCCCCACAGGGCCAGATCAGCCCTGATCACTGGCCAGGCCTAGGGACCTACCCATACATGAATTTCGTGCACTGGGCCTCTAGTCTCCATATAATGAGAGGGGCAATTGGCCCCCTTCGTTGTTTGCCATTCCTCCCAGGCACTGTGGCGGTTACTATGTTTGTGCACCCAATCTGCTAGTTTGGATTTTTGTGAGGCAGTCAGTGTCCTGATCTCTGATAGTATCTCAGCCAGTACTATCTGCAGCAACATAGATGTACCTAGAGGGTATTGGGCTGAGCGAATTAAATCAGACAGTGTAAGATAAACACCATATGCTTTCACCTAGATGTGGAATCTAAGAAAACAAAATAAACAAGCAAGCAGACCAGAGACAGTCTCATAGGTAGCACATTTTGACAGTTGACAGATGATGGGTGGAAGGAGGGGGCGTGTGGGGTTGGGTGTGCATGAAAAAGCAATGCATTAAGCAATATAAGTTGGTAGTTACAAAACAGTGCTGGGGGATATAAATTACAATATAGGGAATATAGTTAATAACATGGTAATAACTATGTATGTATCAGATGGGTACTAGATTTATTGGGGTATTACTTTGCTAGTTATATAAATGTCTAACCACTGGGTGGTACGCTTGAAATTAGTATATTATTGTACATCAACTGTAATTGAAAAATAATTTTTTTTGTTAGTCCTCACCTGAGGATATTTTCCCACTGATTTTTAGAGAGAGTGGAAGGGAGAGGGAGAGACCAAGAGAAACATCGATGTGAGAGAGACGTATCAATTGGTTTCCTCCTGCATGCACCATGACCAGGGCCGAGGAACCTGCAACCAAGGTACATGCCCTTGACCGGAATCGAACCCAGGACCCTTCAGCCCTTAGGTCAATGCTCTCTCCACTAAGCCAAACCGGATAGAGTAAAAAAATATATATATATTTTAAAGGAATAAAGTACTGATACATCGACATCAACAAATTTTGAAAACATGTTAAATGAAAGAAGACAGTCACAAAGGACCACATATTGTATGAATCCATTTATATGGAATGCCCAAAATTGGTAGACATAAAGCTGATTAGTGATTGCCTAGAGCTGAAGTTATGGCTGATAGACTATACAAGAAGCTAATAAAAGTCGTTACAGAAGGTAGGGTGGCATGGGTCAACTGAGACTTCCCAGAATGTGTTTTCACATTGTTGACCTTTTTTGAATCATGTGACCATATTACCTATTCGAATAAAACATAGAATTTAAGAATATTAAAGGAGACTATTTTAGTGCTGAAATTATACATTTAAAAAATAATCTTATGCTTATTTCTATTTTCCAAATATACAATAGTAAATACACATTAGTTTTATAATCAAGAAAAAATAAAACGTTTAGCCCTAGCTGGTTTGGCTCAGTGGATGGAGTGTTGGCCTGCTGCAGACTGAAGAGTCCCAGGTTCGATTCCGGTCAAGAGCATTGGTTGTGGGCACATCCCCGTTAGGAGGTGTGCAGGAGGCAGCTGATCGATGTTTCTCTCTTACCGATGTTTCTAGCTTTCTATCCCTCTCCCTTCCTCTCTGTAAAAAAAAAAAAAAAAAAAAAAAAAAAAAAAAAAAAAAAAAAATCAATAAATTATATTTAAATAAGAAAGTAGTTATTTTAAAAATAAATGAATAAATAAAACATTTAATATACAAACTCTGGGATCATTTTTTCCCATCAATGGAGCAGTGTATAAAGTTGCAAGAAAGAAAGTCTCTCACTTACTCTTGCCTAAAGTTATCTCTAAGTAGCTGTTTTTTTCTTTATCTGTTCATATGTATGTATGTATGCAAGTATGTTAAATGTATTTTTACAGGAATAAAATTTTACTTTATGCACCTCGATTTTTCAATTAACATCTATTTTGGTATGTTAATAACATATAGTCCCACCCCATTCTTTAATCAGCTCCACTCTATTCTTTGGTATAGCAATTCCAAACCAAGGTGGTTCAGACTGCTTTCAATCTACTTCTATTTCAGACACTACAATTAAATTCTTGTAGATGCATGTATACACATGTGCGGTAGCCATTCAGAGGATGACTTCCTAGCAGAGAGATTACTTAGTAAATAATATTTTTAAAATAACAATTTGCAAGTGTTATGTGGTTTGGACCTTGAGACAGCACATGCAGAACTGTGCTTGATGTTTTCCCACTAGGTGGCAGGAGAGATCTATAAATTTCTAAGACAACCAAGTATTGTGCATTTCAAACCTTAAAATATTTTGTTTGTTTTTTTTAAATGATGTTGGTAGTGTTCCCGGTTCATCTGTGATAACCTGATGCCCTGTTTTCTATAAGGTGAGGCTGACATGGTACTTTCCAGGTGGTCAGGGCTTGTGATGCTGTTCCAGTAATGTACCTCAGGTAACAGAATATGAAAAATCAGTCTGTTCAGCTGGTGTGGCTCACTGGTTGAGCATCAACCTATGAGCCAGGAGGTCATGATTTAATTCCAGGTCAGGGCATATGCCCAGGTTGCCGGTTCCATCCCCAGTAGAGGGTGCGCAGGAGGCAGCCTACAATCTGTTTCTACCTCTTGTTCCCTATTCCTTCCTCTCTCTCTAAAAATCAATAAAACCATACTTTTAAAAAAAAAAATCACAATGTCTTATTAATACCATCTAGATGATAATGAATAAAGAATGCATTATGAGCCCTAACCGGTTTGGCTCAGTGGATAGAGCGTCAGCCTGTGGACTGAAGGGTCCCAGGTTTGATTCTGGTCAAGGGCATGTACCTTGGTTGCGGGCACATCCCCAGTAAGTGGTGTGCAGGAGCCAGCTGGTTGATGTTTCTCATTGATGTTTCTAACTTTCTATCCCTCTCCCTTCCTCTCTGTAAAAAAATCAATAAAATATATTTTAAAAAAATAAAAGTTGCATTATGATATCAATACCAAGGTGCATCAATGCAAGTTTTAGGAATGACAATAGCAGAACATTTAGAATATTCCTAATTACTACTATACTTGATAGTGATCAAATATTTTTTAAGTTGTTAACCATAGAGTATACATAAACCATAAAGTTTTGAGATTTTCCCTAATTATATCTTCTTATTTACCGCAAGACCCCTTAGTCATGAGCCATTTTTTGAAGACTTTACTGTAATACCAGAAGGCAGCAGGGGAAAGAAGATTTGCAAGCTGGGAAGGAAACGGTGTCTTAAGTTTCCGATGAAAAACTACATATGTTATAATGGAGGAAATTAAAGTGCTCAGAAGCAGAAATCAGGTACAAAATTGAAAACATGTATTGGAGAGACTTACTTCAGAAACTGTGTTTGGAAGAGGAATTAATTACATAGACTTTATACCATAGAAAGCAAAAGACCACAGAGATATACTCTGTTTTAATAATGGGCTAGTACATCCTGCTATTTTGAGGCTCAGGATAATTCTGAATTTAGTTAGAGAACATGTCCTTAGATTCAAATAATCTATGCGTAGGAGCTCAGAAAATCTAGATGCTAGCGGCACAGGCTCAGAATTGCTGACTTCCCACCATCTCATTCTGCCAGCGTGGCAGGGTAAAGAACCTGTCAATTGAGTCTTTACCATCACTATTTGGGAATCAGTTAAACATCAGAGCTCAGTTTTTGTTATTGTCCTGGGATATTT